TAGCTGTCTGGCGCTCGGCATTAAGGGGCTAAAACAAGGACTGGTCGGCTCGGAGTCAGTATACTGTGTCTGAGTGGGATATTCATGTTAAACTGTGGCATGGTATCTCAGTGAGTTAGCACTTTAAATCGGCATCAGTCCGGACTAGTACAAGCAGCCACACAAACACACACACGTACATGCACCTCGATATATAAGTGCAATAATTTTGGACGCGACGTTAAACCCCATTTCACCTCACCTAATAAATGAAACCAGAAAAGCATTTTTTTAGCATTACAGTACTGACAGTACTTGATGATCATAACAGGTGACCTGGCTGATCGTGTGTCACAGAATGGGTTGTTCCTCATACTATCAACCACAGGTTTACCAGGCCAAGATTGTTTCCATGCCACCATGATGTTTTTTATTTTGATTGTTTATTGTTTAACGCCACACTCAGCAATATTCCAGCTATATGACGCCGGTCTGTAAATAATCGAGTCTGGACCAGACAATCCAGTGATTGACATCATGAGCATCGATCCACGCAATTGGGATATGATGACATGCATCAACCAAGTCAGCGAGCTTGACCACCAGATCCCATTTGTCTTCTCTTACAACAATCATAGTCGCCTTTTACCACAAGCATGGGTTGCTGAAGACCTATTCTACCCCGGATCTTCGCGGGTTCACTATGTTGTAGCTATTAGTTTCTGAATGCAGGAAAACACAACACTGACTCATTGTGAACTTTAAAGCAGGCTTTCCATGGGACCGGTGTAGTGTAACATGAAGCAGCCTGACCACATCAAAGCCATGGGAAACGTTGAAACTAACTTGAATGTAAGGGAATATACTTCCTTACAGCAAGACTCCAGCAATCATCAGTGTCATGACAAAACAGGTAGACAGACTACGAGGACCCATGACATGACCAGGTCAAATTAGCCATGTTGAAATTGATGGGAGTTGTCCCCAGAATGTACAGGGACAAAACTCAAAGAAAAAGTTCATGGGAAAGCGTTAACCTTTGCCTGACCAAATGTTTTATTGATGTAGACTGCACAAGCTAGACCTGTAAAACAACTCAGGCCACACTGTTTTCATTTGCTGGTTTACAGAAGTATTGCTGACTTATTATCTTCGGTCCCTGTGAAGACCTGGGGTAGAAAAGGTCTTCAGCAACCAATGCTTGCCGTAATAGGTGACTATGCTTGTCGTAAGAGGCGACTAAGGGGATCGGGTGGTCAGGCTCGCTGACTTGGTTATTACAATTGCGTAGATCGATGCTCATGATGTCAATCCCTGGATTGTCTGGTCCAACCTCGATAACTTACATACTGCCATCATTTCGCTGGAATATTGCTGAGTGTTGCGTTAAACAACAAACAAATATTATCTTAGTTATTGGTCACTCACTTTCCTTAAATGTTGGTTTTATCACTGGATTGTCTGGTCCAGCCTCGGTTATTTACAGACCGCCGTCATATAGCTGGAACATTGCTGAGTGCAGCGTTAAACAACAAACAAACATATTGGTCTACTGTATACCGCAAATACAATCATTTAAAATAATATAATGTTTATCAAATGATCTTTAGTCGTTAGATTTTAAAGACAAATTTGAATCTTTTAAAATACGTGTGTATAAGTTCAGTAGCAATTGAGCACTGATAGTGTGGTGGTAGTAAGGGTGTATTTTAGGAATGGTTCTAAGTATGTTGTTTATGGTATATCAATTTTCCTACAAGTGTTTCTCCTTAAATTCCTCTTGAGTGCCTGTGTCTAGAACAGATACAACAATATCATCCAATATACATCTGTGTTGATGTAGGACAGTATTAACCTCTTTGTGCTCTCTATACATTTAACCCCCCTTGTTGTCCAAGGGGTACCCTTATCTTAGATTTTGACAGGCTTCAAGTAGACGATTGCTTTGCACTGTAACATACCCTGCTAATCAATAGCACTGTCCGATATCTTGTATATAGATTGTCAATATCATGTTAAAGTACGGTCCGACACCTTGTATATAAATTGTCAGTATCGTGTTAATAGCGTGTCCACAGACAGCTTGTCAATAAGGGAGATGTTATAAGCCTTTAAATTCTTACATAGATTGTACATATCATGTTTATACTGGATTGATTTTCGATAGTCAGTCAATAAATGATGTATGGCATGTCTTTAAATTGTAACATTTTTCATTGGTGAAGCACAGTACATAGATTGTCCATGTCATGTTAATAGCAGTGGACTGATCGTCGATAGCTGTCAATAAATGATATATTGCATGACTTTAAAATGGTAAATTGTAGCTGATTGGTCAGTGTTTATATCACTTTGGGGGTATGGTAGTATTCTCAATGACACAGGACACTACCTGGCTGTTGATCGAAGGGAACATTGAGTAGGAGCTCCCAGGCAATCGGTTAGTGCGCACTGCTGTCAATGGCTTCTCGTTGATTTCTTGACGTGGGGTCATGTGACCAAATACATGGAGGATCTGGTGAGGTAGGGTTTATTTGATAGGATTATGGTATCAACACTGGTTGGAATGTTTTGTAAAAAAATAAATGACATGTTGATTTTGAATTGGGTTATACTGGGTCATTGTCCCTTGTAAATGTACAGTTGAATCATATTGTTTGTATGTATGACCCAGATTCTGTGGTTAATGGTTGTCTTATATTTCGGTATATTTACATTGCAATTTCAGAATGTGATTATTCTGATGATTATATTGACAGCAAAGTTTTTTTAATAAAAATGAGAAAATAAGTAAGACGTGATATTTCTTGATGTAATGCTGTTTCATCTAAAGCAAAAATAATGTGATTGTTCTTCACGACAAACAGGTTCATGCTGTTGATCTTCAATAAATTGTAGCAGAACATCGGGCGTGTTGTCATGTGGTGTATTAGTGTGTCACACACTGAAACTTCCTGCACAGCTATGTCTGCCTTCAAGTAGGTTTCAACAGATGTCTTGAGAGAGGTTCAACATTTAAAATGGTCTGAATTGTTTATGATATTTGCTTTTAGTAAGTTGTAAGTAAGTTGTGAAAATGAACATGGAGCATAAATGTGTTTCATAAATGATAAAGAAAAGTGTTAAACATTCATTAGACTTACCAGCAACTACCAATCAAACTTGCAAGGATGATAAGGTACGTGATGATATTGTTGTGATTATGTTTGATATGTTTCTTAATAAACGATGAAGAAAAAAAAGTATAGAAAATAAACCCAAACTAGGAGGATTCTTTGTTAACTTCAAAGAAAATATTATTATGTTAATGTATGTTTGACAAGGTTGCTTTAAGATATAATTTTCTTTCTATATGAAGCGCTTGTGGACATTGAAACCGAAATAATGCTGATGCGGTGTTAAATTTTAACTCACTCACCCACTAAAGAGCTTGCATTGTCAGCGAAACCACCCACAACAGTACCTACCTATAACAAGGATAGGTTGGCAACATTGTGTTCACTTCCCATGTGAGTTATTCAGACCATGTTTGCTCTAACTCATTGATTTACAAAAGAATGCTACTCCTTCCCTCCACCCAATCTTCAGCAGGTGCCCTTTTCACAGTGTTTGCACTGGCCATTTACTATGAACATATGCTTGTCATTGCCGAAACAAGCGTCATCTGTCAGTGCTGTAGGTAGGGGATCACCTGCTATTGACAAGGTTTATGTCAAGGCTATTGTTGTGGGGCCAAGGTGATTTTGCTTGTTTTTCATAATGGCTTTTTTGAAAGGATTTTTGTGTTTTCTGTGGAATTGTACCAGTGTTAGGTACCGCTTGGCTGTTTGTTTATTTAGTTAAGATGTCTTGGGGAATCAGCGGCTGGTGACTGGCGATGCCTGATGCAGCACTAAGCTAGCAACACTTACAAACTGATGGAGCTGAGGACATATGCAGTGATAATGTATTATTTAGAACTTGTCATTCATTATCTGGGCTTCGACTGGCGATTTTCCATCCATGACTATAAAAGAATTATGCCCCACCCAAATGTATTTATTTTCTTCTGTGACCCTCTGAAAGTGATTATCTTCTGAAAGACAGAACTTGCTGGTGCATATGTTCATCCTAATAAGGATTCTAAATTATCTTGAGTACTGAAAGTAGTTAGTCAGTGGATTAAGGAATTATTTACATATTTTGAGATTTATGGACCACATTTAGGGCCTAGCATTATTAGTATGTTATTAAAATAGATATACGTAAAGGCATGGAGGCATGATAACTGTACTTCCACAAACTTAAACATGACAAACGCATGGAAAATAAACACACCTATCATCCCTAATGGATGGTATGCTTCACAAATTAATCCTGTGACTCAGAACTTGAAATGCGTAAATGTTTTCAATTTCAGTGAAATGCATCAAACTAGCTCATGGGGAAATGATAATCACAGAGGTCGAAGATGGATCAAATGTAGTTTTCATGTTGGCACTCTTAAATTCTAAAGGATTTATGTAATATCTAAACATCGTTATGAGTGGCCTGTGGTACACTTGAAAGAAAATACATGTCTGTCCCTGTTGTGTCCTCTCCACTGAAATACAGATCAGTATTTGAAACATGTAGAACACAGTCAATATCCAGGTGAGATACACAGATCCATGCCACAAACATTACATTTTAATTCCTTTTCAAGGTGTTAATAGAGTTTTCAGACATAATATGTAAGTTTCAAGAGAAGTGCTTAATGTGCCCTGGCAATTCCAGGCTCCATTGATTATAGCCATAAATCACTATGTAGAGTTATGTCCCTTTGCTGTGTCAGGATCCGGTTCAAACAAAATTTGGCCAGATACTGGTACTTGGTCTGTCAGCACTATAACCATGCTTGTAGGTTTCTTTCAAGTGATGAACATTATGACCTGTGTCACCTCGAGCTTGCCTCCAACATTACACATGCTGGGTGTTATTGAACCAAAATATAATGTTAAAAGCGGTATTAAACTCAACTCACTCACTCACTCTGTGTGCAGGTGGACAGGGCGTATCTTCTGGAAGGGCTACCACCACACCCTTGACGAGGCCGATGTCTACGATGTCTTGCCACAAGACTCCACCGTCAAGCTCTCCAACAATCTGGGCAGGTCAGTCACTCTAGATCCCATCGGACAATCTTTAATCATTCCATACATGACCACAGGAGGAGTGTGTCCCCAGCACCCCATTGCTCATCATAGGAGGTGACTAAATTGGGAATCTGTGGGGATGCCAGGTTAGAAGTAGTCCCCAGCAACCTTACCTGGTCGTAAGATGGTGGTCAGGCTCGGTGAATTGGTTGATGCATGTCAATATACCCTGATGTTGTGGATCATTGCTCACAGTACCAATCACTGGATTGTCTGGTTCAGACTTGATTATTTATGGGCCTTCATGATATAGCTGAAATATTGGTGAGTTCGGCATTGGTTTGGTTTGGTTTGTTGTTTTACATCGCAATCAGCAATATTCCAGCTATATGATGGCAGTCTGTAAATAATCGAGTCTGGACCAGACAATCCAGTGATTTACATCATGAACATTGGAACTTGAATCGATGACATGCATCAACCAAGTCAGCCAGCCTGACCACCCTATTCCGTTAGTCACCTATCACGACAAGCATAGTCGCCTTTTACGACAAGCATGGTTTGCTGAAGACCTATTCTACCCCGGAATCTTCACGGGTCTTGTGCCGCATTGAACGACAAACACAGACATACACAGAGTAGAACAGTTGTACTCACCTGGTTTCCACTGCTTGTCATGAATTAGAGAGCTAAAGTGAGGATTAGATGGTCATAATGGCTTCTGTGGTGGTGCTTGGATGAGTGACCTCTTGGCTGTTATCTGGTTGATACAGGGTCATAACACTCCAACAGCATAGCTTGTTGCTTACACTATCATCCATCAGTTTACCTGCCCGGGACACTCTACAGGCTGCTGGGATGTTATGGGTTGGGACGTTTATTCTAGCCATCAATGTTAAAAATGTATTAATTCATAGAATTTTCCCAACAATCAGATGCTTTGTATTTTAGCTGATTGTGTTTGGATTTGTTACTGAAATTCTCCCTCCTTGGTTATGAGCTCTCTACCAATGATTGTGATAACGGTTTTCCTGCATTGTTAAAAATTGTCTCAATGCCATGATGTGAAAGACTATGAAAAACTGTTAACGGCAACATTTAGCCCAGAGTGACTCTGTGACTGTGAGAGAAGCTGATGGCTAACCCAGCCTGCTCCGTGGCTTGTGGAGATCGGTGCTACATGTCCTATTGTTTCTGCACGTGGTGTTGTTACAGGGAGTGGGAGAAGGAGCTGTACCGCTGGAAGACTGGGGGACACCCGAGCCTGCTCAGCGCTGTGTGGAGATGCTACAGGCCCCAGATCTTGGCCTTCTCACTCTTGGTGCTGGTAGAGGTGAGTGTCCTGCACAACATCGCTTCCCAAAAGAGTCGGTTCAGTTACACATTTGTCCGGTTCAGTCTCGATTATCTCAGAGTGCAATCACGTGGCCAACATTCACCCACCAGTGCATTCGTCACCACTCGCCCCTTTCCGTAACCTGCAAGAAGACTCATCCCCCTATCGATGAATGTTATGTGTGAAAATAAGACAAACCAATCAAAATGAGCGTATGACGTTAGGTTCTTCGGTCATAGAATCCCTCAGGAATAATTGTTTATTTTACTTATGTCTTGCATCTAAAAATGTACCCAAGATACAGTTATATGTGTTCAATCATACTTTATAATACTTTAACTCCTGATGTGCTATAAATTGCATCTGAACATATATAATATATAGGGAAATATACGTGAATCATTACGCAATGAGTTGACAATTCTTTTAGTTATGCCCCTTTGCGCTTAGACGGAACCCGGTCGCAAAAATGGCCATGAGAGGGGCACGAGTCACTATTTGGCTTGTCCCCGAATAACACTAGTTGGTCACAAATGCCACCAGTGCAGAGGGCTGAAATCTCTGTATGCCAAAATAGGAAAAACATATTGCTTGTGTTGAATGTTATTAACACAAGTCTGATTCAGGTTTTGCAAATCGTTTACCCCTACCTCAGCACTGCAGTGATGGCCACGTCTAATGTCTACTACGCCTTGTTTCCAGGAGACTCTGAGGGTGGTCCAGGCAATTCTCATGGGGCACTTCATCCAGATGTTCCGCACCACCGGAGCAGGGGGAGCAACTCTGCCCTACCCCGATGTCTACATCTTCGGAGCCTTCCTCTGTGTTGTCTTCCTTGTCAACATCTTCTTGGACCACAACTTCTTCCACCACGGCTACAGGATGAGGGTAGCAGCAACATCACTGATATACAGAAAGGTGAAGGTCACAGTCTATAGGGACAGCATTGTACGAGGGTTGATTGATAAGTTTCAAGCCTCACATAGAAGGAATTGTGTAATAGTGAAATCTTTTGTTGTGGACTTTACATGATGTCATAGAGGTTTATCCAAAGAAACATGAATCTATTGCAAAAACTGCTTCATAGTGACATGTCAGCAAAATACACAGGGGCCTGTGATGTTTGAGAAATTACAAAGTTAAGGAACTTATTGTATAAAAAAAGATATCAAATTCTGTGACAGTATATGTTGATGGACTTTCCTGGAGACGGTGAGGTAGTCCAGAGGTTAACGTGTTGTTTGGTATCTGAAGACCCGAGTTTGATTCCCAAAATGTCTATTTCTGGTATTCGCTGCCCCGTTACAACTGGAAGTAACTAAACATGGTATGAAACTGTTCTCACCTTCTCATTTATTGAATTTTGTGTATGTTTTAAACTTTAATCTCCATTTTTACATGTTCCCAGGTGATGCGTCTCTCGTACTCTGCCCTGACTCCTAAAGTCATGGAGGACATCATTAACTTGGTTACCAGAGAGATGGACGTCTTCCCCATGGTGTGTTTTTGGTAACATCAGTACAACTTGCAAGTTTGAGTGGTGATTTGAGGTAGAGAAGCGCCCAGTACACCATGGCCAAGCTAGCAGTGAGGGTGGACTAAAATGGCATAGAGTTGTTGTTTGTCTCATTGTTCCCTGAAGGTTTTGATCAGTGTTCATGCTACCAAGGGGGCACGGGTTGTCTAAGGTTGTCTGTGCAGAGTTGTGTCCCTTGGGCACGCCAGAAACCTATGATTGTGGGTTCGAATCCCGGTTCAACCCGATTATGTTTCTAGGTTTGTCAGCACCATACCCGTGCTCGTGGGTTTCACCGAAGTAGTAAACGTCTGAGACCTGCATCACTTTGGGCTGACACGCCGTGATATAACTGGAATACTGTTAAAAGCAGCATTAAACCCAACTCACTCACTCACTCATGCTACCAAACAGTTTGTCTTTTATTTACAGGCTATTATGAAACAGCTGGAATATTGTTGCCAGTAACATAAAACAATATTTCCTCATTTACTGGTACAAAATATGTATGCATGATTTACAGGTTTCAGAGAGTTGAAAAATGTTTCTTTTATGCGTTCAGGTAGTACTTCCAGCAACCTACATTCTGATTGGTCCACTCCAGCTGGGTATAGTTTGTTACCTGCTCTGGGATTGGTTGTTGCTAGGCCCTGTGTGTATGGCTGGCATCTTTGTGCTGTTCCTGCTGTTTCCCCTCCAGATCCTCATGGGCAAGTTGTCCAGGATACTTAGGTGAATGTTACATTATTTAATGGATCCCATCACATACTCCACGATCCAGGCTTGCCATGCAGACATTTTTCACAAATATCAATCACTCTATATTTACACATGTACTGCAAGCTCATAGGCCGAAAGTACAGATATCAACACTATAAGTTGCAGCAGTGTCATGAGGGGTATATGTGGTTTTATTATCCTGCTGACATGTTTCATTCTGACATTTTTAAAGAATTTAAAAAAAATTAAAATTGATAGAAAACAGCTGTTCGTTTGATCATGTTGATCTGAGGTTAACTTGTGCTGTGTCACGTGACTTTCATTGATGCCACTTTTTCCTTCAAAACAGGGTGCAAGAAATTTATTGCCCCCACTCAGAAATGCACATGCTGACCATTTTCTTTCATCTTCCCGAGGTAAAAGAGTTATTAATTGTAAAAGTCCAGTTTCCACCTTTGCCAAACTAGGCTGGAATTTCTGGGCTTGATCATAGTGCCACCAGTGGCTATTACGAGTTATGTCCCTTCCATGTCGCTCCCATTGACCAATCAGATTCCACCTCTCATATCACTTACATTTGCTTCAAACAAAATGGCGACACCCAGTGAAGACAATTTGATCGATAATCAAGATCTATATTGTAATAAAATGGGTCTTACTCTGCAAAGTGCATCCAATCATGTGATCACCCTGATAAAAAAACGTGAAAAGAAATTTCTCTTGATGACATGTTGATGGTACACATGCTTTGCTTTTCCTGCAATCAACTGAAATCTGCCAGAGAGTTTACGAACCGGATTATGCATGGACTCATTAGTCCAGTCAAAATATAACTCCAAAATTCCAGCCTAGTTCGGCAAGGGTGGAAACTGGACTTATACGGGTTAACTCCCTTGACTAGGGAAGATAATTTTCTTTGTGGCAGTGTAAAACAGATTTATTTCCCCACTCAGAAATTTATTTCCGTCCCAGAAGGGATATGTAGTATTTCATCAAGATCATGTGAACCAATCAGATCTCAACATTCTGACGTGGAGGTAAGATAGGTGACCTTACCCCTCTCACTGATGCTGACTATATATGGCTGCAATACTGCTGATGTGAAATAAATCCTATCTCACTCACTGATGCTGTGACACTGATTTCCTGGTGTTTTCCTACAGGCAGGGGCGGTCGGGTAGCCTAGTGGTTAAAGCGTTCGCTCGTCACGCCGAAGACCCGGGTTCGATTCCCGACATGGGTACAATGTGTGAAGCCCATTTCTGGTGTACCCCGCCGTGATATTGCTGGATTATTGCTAAAAGCGGCGTAAAACCATACTCACTCACTCCCTACAGGCAGAAGACAGACACGTTCACCGGCCACCGGCTGAGGAAGTTACAGTCCATCATTGGGGGGATCCAGGAACTGAAGACCGGCTGCTGGGAGAGGCTGTGTGAGAAGGTCCTCACTGCGAGCAGAGAGTGAGTCCATAGAGGTTACCACATCAGTGTCTGTCGGGTACTATTTATCTTACAAGTTGTTTCAAAACGTATTTAATGAGCGAAGGATGTTCTGTCATGATAGTGTGAGAAGGTCGTCACTAGCAGAGAGTGAGTGCACTGAAGGATGACATGTGAGAAGGTCCTCACTCAAGCTAAAATTATAGGTATCTGTTGTCCGCAGTGGTTACTGAATACAGAATGCTTGAGACAATCTGAAGAACAATGCTAACCTTTGGCTTGTGTGGCGGCCAAAACATTCCTGAATCCCGGGATGGGATTTGAACCACAGACCTTCTGATCTGAGGTCGGACGCCTTGTCCACATGACCAAAGAGGTTAACCCAGTCAGGAAGCTGACAAATCAAACAAACATTATGTTGATGTTTCAGCGAGGAACTGGTCCATATGAGGAAGTTGTCACGGCTGCTGAGTTTCAACAGTGCGTTGACGTTGACAGCGGGGAAGCTGGTGATGTTTGTGACGTTCATGTTGGTGCTGGTGACTGGAAGGACGATCACCGCAATGCAGATCTTCACGGCGATGGCGCTGTTTGAGACGCTGCGCATCAGTCTAAGTATACTGCTGCCTGCTGGGATACTCTTCCTCAACGACACACTGAAAACTCTCAAGAAAATACAGGTATGTAGAGAGTTTGAATTGTTGTCCATAAATTGGTTTACAGAATTTTGTTTTCTTCGGAAATGTTGGTTGTCAAAAAAAGGAAACATGAAATTATCTTCAATTGAGCATGTCAGAATTTCCACAACTGCACTCTTGAGCCACATGAATGGAGCCATTTTTCTGTCTAACGACTGTGCAACTGGATATGTCAACAAAGGGCTGTAACTGTTATCGGTCTTCATGGTTTCAAACTTTGCGGTAAACAAAACTGTATTTTTCAATGAATCCTCTTATCAACCCAAACTAATTTGAATGACTTATTTTTTTAGTTATTTTTTATACCATTAGAGTCAGCAATATAAAAAAATATATTTAAAAAAATCATTATACAGTTATTTTCATTTTGGGAAGTTGGCATATCAGTTGACCAATAAAGAAAATATTAATGGTCTTACATAAAAAGTCTCAATGGGGAGTATGGGTCAGAATATTCCTGCTTATAGAGCTGATGATTGAGGATCAGGTGGTGACAGTGTATGGAGACTGATTGTGTGTAGTCGGGGTGGCTGGAACTGTTGCTTATGCTATGGACCCGTGAAGATTCTGGGTAGAATAGGTCTTCAGCAACCCACTCTTGCCGTAAAAGGCGACTATGCTTGTCGTAAAAGGTGACTAACGGGATTGGGTGGTCAGGCTCGCTGAATTGGTTGATACATGTCATCGATCCCAATTGCGTGGATCGATGCTCATGATATCAATCACTGGATTGTCTGGTCCAGACTCGATTATTTACAGACCGGCGTCATATAGCTGGAATATTGCTGAGTGCGGCGTAAAACAACAAACCAACAAACTAACCAACTTATGCTATGGTTTGCTGGGTCGCAACTTGACCATTAACAGGTCACCATGATGGAGCTAGAATATTGGAAACTGACATAAAACAACATTCATTCACCCACCCCTCGGTACAACAACCAATACTATAGGAGACACAGTTGAAGCCTTTAGAACAGTGAGGCTCTTGAGGTTTAAACTTAAAGGGGGACTACTCTGCTAGTGTGGTGCCTATTCCCTTGCACTGGAAACATGTGAAGATCCAGTTTAGAACAGAACTTCAGCAACCCATGCATGGCATAAAAGACAACTATGCTTGTCATAAGAGGCGACAAATGGGATCACCATGTCATCGTATCCCAATTGCGTTATGTACTTTCAAAGTGAGGTAGGAATGAAACGATTTTTTAGAACACTGCTGGAGACTGGTATTTGCAATATTTCAAACTCAAAGAGTGATTTATATATACTACGTTCCAAAAGACACTCACTTCTCATGTTGTAACATAATCTCAGGTGTCATAGTCCACACTGTAGGATGTGCGTTGCTGTTGGAATTGAGTATATATCAGTGCTGTAGAGTTGTTGGTAACCCGAAGCCTTATGTAGTCACATCTCTCGTTGCAGCATTTCCTCATGATGGAAGAGAAGGGGACGTTGTCCATGAGTCGCGGCAGCTTCCAGATGCTCAACAATGACGTCGTCATCCGCTTCAGCAACTACTTCGGCAGTCGGCAGAAGGTTAGTTATATATCTTCCATGTTGCACTGGCAGGGTTACAGGATTTACTGAGTGGAACTGGCTTGTACACTACTAGACTGGGCCTCAGATAGGCTGTGTATTTACATACTGTAAACTTTGCAAGATAAATCACCATTACCCTATTAAGTTGGAGTTGTTTGCGTACAAATCCGCATGAAAAGTTGCTTTACCTGTACTACAACATTGTGAGTAATTAACCAATGTATCTTTTTTAACTTACGTGCCTATATTTCTTTACAAATCTTTATTAACTGATCGACTGCAGGTAATACCTATACGTGAACTCCTACTGCTGTGAATGATGCATACACAAGGCACTACATCTTCTTATTGTTAAGTTGGTATGTGTATGGCTGTTGTGAGTTTGTGCAACATGTTACACACTTGGGGCATGACTCAATGAATACAAATCAGAGGTCAATCAAACAGCATATAAAATAATTATAAAAATATTGTTTACCTTATTGGTGGAAAAATACCCAGTGGACTGGACCCATGGGAGTACCCAGTCCAGATTTGTTGACATGGTATTTCCGGTGTTACATGCTCACGGTAATGTCTCTTCAAAGCTTTTCAACCCTGTGTATAAAATGACCCCCCTTCAAAGCCCCTTAGTTCTAGCAGAGACGTATATAGTATATACGTCCGTGGTTCTAGGTACGAAAAACTCGCCTTATACACAGCTTGTTGAACTCGAGTTACAGCATCAGACATTGTCATATATTTCTGCAAATTCCCAACTTTTTTAATTGATTGCACAATTCCTCTGTTTGTTACAGAGCCTGGATGCTGCCATGGCACTGGTAAACATTGAACTGGACATAGAAAAGGTAGGATTCATCATGTTGTTACTTTAAAGAAGAAAACATTCACTCCCAGTTATTTTGAATCAGTCATTTAAACAACATTTGCTGAGTCATGATCTGGATGGGGCAGAATAGGTGCCCTTGTGTTACACACTGTGTGACCTGGCTGATTGTGTGCCATCATAATCCATCAGTGTGGATCGCTGCTCATGCTGTCGGCCTCTGGTTTGTTTGGTGCAGACCCAGTTATTTACGACCTCAATGATATAGCTGTAACATAACTGACTGATGTTTCTGGCTTGAGGGTGTGTTTGATTCTGTGTCTTGGGGGGGGGGGGTGTTTGTTTCTGTGTCTTCAGGGTGTGTTTGTTTCTGTGTCTTCGGGGTATGTTTGTTTCTGTGTCTTCAGGGTGTTTTTGTTTCTGTGTCTTCGGGGTATGTTTGTTTCTGTGTCTTCAGGGTGTGTTTGTTTCTGTGTCTTCTGGCTGTGTTTTGTCCATTGATTCGGCATGTTGTCATTCCTTGTAACAACCCAGTTCCAAGTGCTGAGGTTTGACGAGAGGGGAGCAAGCCTTGGTTCCTGGTTCTGCATCATCTTGTAAAATGGCCCACATGGTATAAGATAGTTAGCGCCCCCCTCTGCAGGTGATATGGACCACAACGCTCTCCTGTGACATCCCGTGCATGGAAGTCCATTTCAACCTTGAGAAGGGCGCTAACGTGTTCATATCATATTCCAGATTTGATCCAGTCCTTCTATTGATAAATATTTATATAATTTAATCATGTAGGTTAGTGTTAAGCAATTATTACATTTATTCTCATAAACTTCTTAATAGCTTCTTGTATCCTTGTCCGTGAAGATCCGGGGTAGATTAGGTCTTCAGCAACCCCTGCTTGCCGTAAAAGGCGACTATGCTTGTCATAAGAGGCGACTAACAGGATCGAGTGGTCAGGCTTCCTGACTAGGTTGATGCATGTCATTGTATCCCAATAACGTGGATCGATACTCATGATATCAATCACTGGATTGTCTAGTTGTCATAGAGAAACAGTTTAAAACAATAAGCCACTCCCCGCGATTTCCACTTAAGCATAATAACTTCTCCCTTAGCAGGGAATTCTGGGAACCTCGGTCTGTCTGCTTCTGCCATGAATGTAAAACACTCAAGAAAAGTAAATGTGCATCTTGACTATCCCTCTTATACCGGGTTGTCGTGTTGATGATGTGACTGTATGTAGTCTGGGGTTACCACACTGGTCCAGACCACCGTCATATAGCTGGAATATTGCTGAGTGAGGCATTAAACAACAAACAAACAAATTGTATCCTTGTGTACTCTGTTTTGTGTTTCATGTTTACATTATTTGTATGAGTTAAACCAAGTTCAGACAAGTGCTGATAAAGTCTCATGTTATCTTATGATGTGTTTCAACATACATATATGCAGGCTTTACTTGACACATGCACAAAACCAACATTTGAAAGCATGTTCAAGACGTAATTAAGCAGCTTAACAAAGGCTAAAGCAGTGGCTCGCTCTTCTGATAAATCTTGTCACATGATATTTTTATTTTTTCATTAGAGTAAGCTGTATGCTGTGATTGGTCCACCAGATGGAGGCAAGGTATGGTATAACACAACACTTGGCAGTATAAGAGTCAATATAGATTCTCAGTTGTCACAGGTCATACCACAACCATAGTCATTTCAGACTCTTTCCTCTCCTAGACCGCCTCCGTGGTCTAGTGGTATAGCGTCCGTTCCGGAGAGCGGAAGGTCTGGGGTTTGATCCCCGGCCGCGTCATACCAAAAGACGTTAAAAGATGGTACTTGTTGTTACCCTGTCTGGCGCTCGGCATTAAGGGGCTAAAACAAGGACTGGTCGGCTCGGGAGTCAGTATACTGTGTCTGAGTGGGGTATTCATTATTAAACTGCGGCATGGTATCTCAGTGTGCTAGCACTATAAATCGGCATCAGTCCGGACTAGTACAAGCAGCCACACAAAAACACACAGATAGATGCACGTCGCTATATAAGTGCAATAATCTTGGACGCGTCGTTAAATCCCATTTCACCTCACCTCTTTCCTCTCCTCTCCTCAGTCCATGTAACAGTCTTTGAATATGAGGCATTGCTTGCGTTAATAACCTCTTACAGTTTTAACATGCATTCACAATTTTCCTATTTTTTGTCTACAATTACATATGAAATGTTGAGGTAATCTTGTAATCTTGTAAAGTGGAAGTGATGTCAGTGCTGATGGGACTCCATAGGGGCATAATAAATGGCAAATTTTGAAGGAGTTGATCTTTAGTTTCTTATACCACTAGGGTGAATTATGTTCATTGTTTCAGCGGGTTGTTATTCTTCGTATTAATTCCATGTGTTTAGGACCCGTGAAGATTCCGGGGTAGAATAGGTCTTCAGCAACCCATACTTGCCGTAAAAGGCGACTATGCTTGTCGTAAAAAGCGACTAACGGGATTGGGTGGTCAGGCTCGCTGACTTGGTTGATACATGTCATCAATCCCAATTGCGTGGATCGATGCTCATGATGTCAATCACTGGATTGTCTGGTCCAGACTGATTATTATACAGACCGCCATCATATAGCTGGAATATTGCTGAGTGTGGTGTTAAACAACAAACCAACAAACAAACCATGTGTTTAGTGTGATGAGGTTGGACGATTTGATTGAGATGAACCCTTGGTTCATGGTTTTGAAATACTCATTGCGTGTCATGGCCCACGTGGCATTAGTTGGTTAGCATCCCCCACACCATCTGCAGGTATTATGGACTTGAACACTCTCAGCTGATGCCTGTAGTGTTTAAAGTCCATATTACCCTTGAGAGGGCCCTAACTTATACTTATCACCTATCTACATGACCAGCACACTTTGCATCAAGAATGCTACTTAACTCTATATATCTGTATTCACAATATTATATTATTGTTTGCTCATTTCCTGACAGAGTTGTCTGCTCCTGGCTGTTATTGGTGAACTTGAGAGACACAAAGGTCAGCTGTTCCATCATGGCCGCCTGGCGTACATTCCCCGACAGCCATGGTTGTTCCCAGGGACTATCAGGGAGAATGTTGTGTTCGGCTCGGAGTTCGTGAGACATCGGTACAACCAGGTGCTCCAGTCATGCGCCCTGTCACAGGTAAACTCACAGGACTTGATTAATTACTATTATTAATACTAGTGTTGTAGATATAATGTTTGTTGTAGACCACACCAGAAACCTATAATGATCATTGGTTGGAATCCCTGATTATTTTCCTTGGTTTGTCAGTGCCATTCCCGTGCTCATAAGTTTAACCAAAGTGGTGAATGTTGAGGACTTGCATCTTTTCAGTCTTTCCTCCCACATCCAAATGACACGCCATGATATAACTGAAATACTTGACAAAGTGAGTAAACTGAGCACAGTGTCCTGTCGATTGGCTTTTCAAGCATCATTTGATAGGGCTTGAATCCCAGATATCTTCAGTTCTGATCTATGGTCTATAGGCACCGGCACCAACTGTTAATATGGGTTTCATCTGTGATGCTGAGGGCCTTCCACAAAAACTCTTTTGCCATGACTAAAACAGCATTTAACCCAACTTAATCACTTCTAAATTTAAAAAATATGTATTTGTGAATCTATGCCCTTATGTTCTGTCCATAGTGAATAAGTAAGATGCAGATAATGTTAGACATACATATTGAACACAGGACTGATGGGCTATCTTAGAAGGTCTTATTTTGCTTCAGACATAGTCATCAACCAGTACATTCAATTCATTGGGTCATTTTTAGATTGACATTAATCCTGCAAATGTATTCAGATGAAATTTGGTTCAGAATTCAGCATTATTTCCAATCATCCATTTGCTCGTTCTTAAACCAGCCATCTAATGACACTGTGTTGCATTGGCCATTGTTGCTGATGTGTACATGTCTTTATTGTCCCATCAGATGCTGGATGCCTTCCCACAGGGGGATCTGACCGTGGTAGGAGACAGGGGTGTCACCATAGACAACAGTGTACAGGCCAAGATTACCCTGGCCAGGTGAGCTAAATGTGATCTGACATTGGTAGGAGATAGGGGTGTCGACAGCAGTGTACAGGCCAAGATTTACCTGGCCAGGTGAGCTAAATAAAAACAGACATTGGTAGGAGATAGGAGTGTCACCATAGACAACAGTGTGCAGGCCAAAGTTATTCTGGCCAGCTGAGCTAAATGTGATCTGACACTGGTACGGGACAGGAGTGTCACCATAGACAACAGTGTGCAGGCCAAGATTACCCTGGCCAGGTGAGCTAAATGTGATCTGGTATTGGTAGGAGACAGGGGTGCAGGCCAAGATTACATTGGCCAGGTGATCTAAATGTGATCTGACCTTGGTAGGAGACAGGGGTGTCACCATAGACTACAGTGTGCAGGCCAAAATTACCCTGGCCAGGTGAGCTAAATGTGATCTGATGGTGGTGTTTTTAAAAAAAAAATGTTCTTTTCACTTCTATATTTTCATCAGCAGCTTTGTGGTTTTGAAGTATTTATCTTTCATCCAAATTATTTTATGAAAGAGGCCTTATGTCTAGCATAATATGGGGCGGTCGGGTAGCCTAGTGGTTAAAGCGTTCGCTTGTCACGCAAAAGACCCGGGTTCGATTCCCGACATGGGTACAATGTGTGAAGCCCATTTCTGGTGTCCCCCGCCGTGATATTGCTGGAATATTGCTAAAAGCGGCGTAAAACCATACTCACTCACTCACACTCTAGCATAATACATTTCGTAATAATGAGGTTTTGAATGAAGTAAGAGAATGTTCACTCTGTACATAACTGTTTTACCTGTATAAATGACTTGTTGTCCACAGGGCTGTGTACCAGAATGCTGATATTTACTTGATAGACGACATCCTGTCAGGAATGGATGGCAAGTCGTCCATGCACATCTTCAAGAAGTTAGTACATATTTCCTCACAACTAGTTTTGTTAAAAAATAAGTCTCAGCTTTCACCATAAGTAATTACTTCATTATAATTTTTGGAAAATACATTAATATTTTATACATCTTCTTCCAAGCATTTAATTAATCAACAGCTATTAATGAACTATTTAGTATGATGTATAACACCTAGTTGACTGCAAAGTTCGAGGAGTGTTATGTAAGCGCAGAATTATTATTGTTGGTTGTACTAAGTCTTTCCACATTACTTTGATAGTGTATATTTTAGAATACACTGATAACTCAATGTCCATGAAATATTTGTTGATCAAATTTTGCTCAGATATCAGTCTAGCCATGAAGTTACATGTGCCTTTGCTTTTCAGGATTTTTTGTTGTTGATTAATTCCAGTTTCCATTGCAAAAAATTCCAATCAATGAAACATTGATGAGCCATTTGTATTTCCTCACTCATCAATCAAGTGTTTTTGCAATTTTTTATATTTTATATTTTTCCCCACCAAGATGGTAAGTACTAGTGTACATCCTACTGAGGCACCAGTCAGCTTGCAGCATATAATATATAATATATAATATAATATGAATCAGTGTCATTTAGAACAAGTTCCTGTCTTGCATTGAGTATAACATACCGTTGGTGAGGATATGAGTATTTCATGCTTGTCATTTCAGATGCATCTGTGGGCTCCTTCAGAATAAGACTCGACTGTTTGTGACGGATAATGCACAGCACACCCAGGTCGCTAACAACGTCATCATGGTGTCACAGGTATGATAAGATTATATACAGGTAGTCAGGGTATTCTAAGTTAGATCAAGTCTTTTCCTCTGATAACATGTGGAAAGCCGCATGCATAAAGATCTGACAGCCCCCCATTCGAACCGTGCCTATCTAATCGACCAATCAGCCTTGAGGCTTCTTGGGATTTTCAGTAGCTTTTATGTTACTTCTGTGCAAAGCATTCAGATCTCTGTATCTTGAAAACGAACTTGAATGGTGAGTTCTGAATGTAAATAATAAAAGTTACATCATTTCTGAGTGCCATGGCATCTACACCCCAAAAGGTGTTACGTCATTAGAAATTTCAGATCTGATTTTAGTGAGACTGATAATGTGAAAACTGCTATACAGTTTTGTAATAGTGTGTTCATCAGTGCTGTGTGGTGCTGTAATTGTAGAGTTGAAAAATGTCAGAATTTTCAGGGTCAAGGAATTTGTTTCAATATATTTCATGATTTGTGTTATTTGCAATAATTTTAACAATGATGGTCATTAAAAATGCCTCACATGTGGCAATTTATTTATTACATACAAAATTGGAGCCAGATGTTTTTGCTCGGGCATGTTCTGGGTTCGATTAGTGTTTTGGGAATGACTATTCCTTCTCAAAGTAAAATGTTGGGTGTGTATGGGTATGACTTGATGAATAATGTTACTGATCTTGTCCTACCCAGGGCACTGTCCACTTCTCGGGCCGATATGACGACATCCACCGCTGGGGCATCACAGTCAGCCACTTCCTGACAAGCCGGACACACCCGGAAATGGACGTGGACAAGATGGCCGACATCTCGTCCCCCCTGATACAGGACCTGTCCTCCACCCTGCTGCCCCCTCCCTCCCCAGACAGTGTCAAGGACAGCGTCACGGGCTCCTTCGAGATGCTTCAACATGACTATAAGGTCAATATAATCTCCATCATTGAAATGAAGTTGTGTTAGTTGTTTCAAGTCATGTGTGAGGACAGCCTGAATTAATGCAGTTCTTTTCCCTTTACGACCATGGTGAAATCCACAAGCATGTATGTGGACAAACCAAGAATGGCAATCAGTGTGAATCTAGAATTCAAACCCACAATGACAGGATCCTGCAACATCTAAGGGATGCAACTCTCACACCGAACTGGAGTGCCATAGATGACTGTGCCACCAATGCCTCTAGTTGAACCATGATTGCAAGGGGCCCTTTCCATGACCCAGATGTTAGAAAGGAGACATTTGGGGGTCCTATGTTCCAATACATTGCAGTGAAATCTTGAGGGTGTCCCACTTGACACCATTGTAAATGTCTTGTGTAGAAGTCCATACAAAGTCAGGAACACCTGTTCACTTCCTTACTGTCTGTAGTTGCTCTCCACTTGAATCAACTTCTGAGAGTGTTATAGCTTATATCTACAATTGACCGTGCAAGAAATTCAATGCTTTAAATATATTGGAGTGTTCTCATTTCCATGATGTAGTTGATAGTGTCTATCTGGTGTTCAGAAGTTGGTGGTTCAGTTCCCTGACTGCGTCATACTAATGACGTTAACAGATGGCACTTCTTGTTAACCCACCTGTTGCTTGACATTGCGGGGATAATCAAGGACATATTACAATCTTTGTATTGTAGCCAACATACCCACCATGTGAGGATCAACTAGGGCTGGATGAGTCCAAATGTACTACCTGGGTACCCACCCACCCATCACCCGACCCTATCGGGTACCCACCCACCTGTCACCCAACCCGACCGGGTACCCACCCACCTATCACCTGACCCTACCGGGTACCCACCCACCTATCACCTGACCCTACCGGGTATCCACCCACCTGTCACTCGACCCAACCCAGGTACCCACCCACCTATCACCTGACCCAACCCAGGTACCCTGCCACCTGTCACCCGAGCCAACCCAGGTACCAACCCAGGTACCAACCCAGGTATCCACCCACCTATCACCCATCACCGGACCCAACCCAACCCACCGACCTATCACCCGACCCAACCCGAGTACTTGCTGTAGGTCTCACAATCTCATTAGAATCAGATCTAGGTTCTTGCTGCCGAAATTTGACCGACCACTGGAATGACTAACAAGAAGTCAACATCAGCCAATTAGAAAGCAGCTTTTTCGAGCTTTACGGCACTCGTTTCAACCTGGCGACTTCCATTTCAGACTACGCTTGAAAAATATGTTGACACAGTTCTTGATTAAAATTTGGAAAACTGAACAAACGAACATTCCAGAATGCCCAATATCTAGTAGAGATTTGACAGAATCACCAGTACGGGCCGTAACTGTCGTTCGGAATACCCCTTGTTAAATATTTCGAGGTTGCATGGTTAGAAAACACATTCTGACTGTCACTTTCATGATCTGGTAAGCGACGCTCTGATTGATTGGATGAAAGGCTGTTCTGACATGACCCGTAATGGGATGTCCTCAGATCTTTGCTTAGCGATAACGAGAACTAAGATCTGATTTAATGAGATTGTAGGTCTCAAGATATTGGTACAAACTGTCCCATTGGGAAAAGTTTGATGTTAGCCCTGGCCAAATGTATTTACATACATGTATAATACAATCTAAGCAAACTAAAGGTTATCTTTACTCAAACATATAGATGAGAAGGAATGAGTGCGTAGTCAGAAAGAAATGCAAATATAAGTGACTTGTTGTGTAAACATAGTTTTAGATAGCTTTTTTCATTGAACAATATATTAGGTGACTAACCATGGGTCCGGGTAGTCCTGTGGGTACCGAGTACCTGAGTTACCTGTCCCAGTCCTAGTCTCAAAAAAATGTTCAATCATATGTTCACATATTCAATCCGTGTCACTTTATCTGAAATATATCAGTACGTCCAACCTAACTCCCTCACTCACTCACTGTGTCGTTGTGCAGGACCCGGGGGACACTCTGATCACCGGGGACAGCGACACCAGCTTCCGCAGCATCTCCTCCACCGGTAGTGCCTACAAGTGGTACTTCCTGCTGGGAGGCGGGATATTCGGAGTCATCGCCTTCTTCGTCCTGTGTATCTTTGAACAGGTATAACATTTAAATGGCCCTTCTTGTCGGGATACATATCTCATTGTTTCTGAAGGTAGGATTGGTGTCGATAGGTATTCTATCATAATTGTTGACATATATTTTGTCACAATTCTTTTCAAAATCAAATTTATATTTTTCAGAAATGGTTTGTTCTTCAATAACAAAAGAGAACTCAAACAATAACAATCGAAACCTGTTCCTCCACAATTTAACATAATTTTGTTGTCATAAATACTCCCAGTTTATGTCCTATGAAGATCCTGGTTAGAATTGGTCTTCAGCAACCCATATTTGTTGCAAGAGTTGTCTCTGCTTGACGTAAGAAGCAACTAAAGGGATCGGCTGGTCAGGCTGGCTGACTTGGTTGATGCATGTCATTGTATCCCAATTGCGTAGGACCTGTGAAGATCCGTGTTAGAATAGGTCTTCAGCAACCCATGCTTGCCGTAAAAAGCGACTATTCTTGTCATAAAAGGTGACTAAAGGGATCGGCTGGTCAGGCTGGCTGACTTGGTTGATGCATGTCATTGTATCCCAATTGCGTAGGACCTGTGACGATCCGTGTTAGAATAGGTCTTCAGCAACCCATGCTTGCCGTAAAAAGCGACTATTCTTGTCATAAAAGGTGACTAAAGGGATCGGCTGGTCAGGCTGGCTGACTTGGTTGATGCATGTCATTGTATCCCAATTGCGTAGGACCTGTGACGATCCGTGTTAGAATAGGTCTTCAGCAACCCATGCTTGCCGTAAAAAGCGACTATTCTTGTCATAAAAGGTGACTAAAGGGATCGGCTGGTCAGGCTGGCTGACTTGGTTGATGCATGTCATTGTATCCCAATTGCGTAGGACCTGTGACGATCCGTGTTAGAATAGGTCTTCAGCAACCCATGCTTGCCGTAAAAAGCGACTATTCTTGTCATAAAAGGTGTCTAAAGGGATCGGCTGGTCAGGCTGGCTGACTTGGTTGATGCATGTCATTGTATCCCAATTGCGTAGGACCTGTGACGATCCGTGTTAGAATAGGTCTTCAGCAACCCATGCTTGCCGTAAAAAGCGACTATTCTTGTCATAAAAGGTGACTAAAGGGATCGGCTGGTCAGGCTGGCTGACTTGGTTGATGCATGTCATTGTATCCCAATTGCGTAGGACCTGTGACGATCCGTGTTAGAATAGGTCTTCAGCAACCCATGCTTGCCGTAAAAAGCGACTATTCTTGTCATAAAAGGTGACTAAAGGGATCGGCTGGTCAGGCTGGCTGACTTGGTTGATGCATGTCATTGTATCCCAATTGCGTAGGACCTGTGACGATCCGTGTTAGAATAGGTCTTCAGCAACCCATGCTTGCCGTAAAAAGCGACTATTCTTGTCATAAAAGGTGACTAACGGGATTGGGTGGTCAGGCTCGCTGACTTGGTTGATGCATGTCATCGATCCCAATTGCGTGGATCGATGCTCATGATATCAATCACTGGATTGTCTGGTCCAGACTCGATTATTTACAGACTGCCGTCATATAGCTGGAATATTGCTGAGTGCGGCATTAAACAACAAACCAACCAACCAACCCAATTGTGTATATTGATGCTCATGATGTCAATCACTGGATTTTCGGGTCCAGATTTGTTTGTTTACATACTGCTGTTATATAGCTGGAATATTGATGACTGCAGCATTAAAACAACAAACAAATAAGCCCTTAGTTTCACTTATACAATAATGCATTGTCATTGCTGATTGCCTGTATTTAATGTGGCAGTTTTAATGTGTGTATCCTGATTGTTCCAGGGAGGATTTGTCCTGTGTGAGTGGTGGCTAGCCTACTGGTAAGGACATCTTCACATTCTATAGATCTTTCTGTTTTCCTCAAAATATAGATTGTTGCTCACAATATCAATCATTTGGTTGTCTGGTCAAGATTCGATTGCTATACACTACCGTCATATAGCTGGAATATTGCTGAGTGCAGTGATAAAGAACAAACAAACATCATGTTATTCTGAGCCTGTTTCATGTTATTCTGGAGATGGTTGGGTAGCCTAGTGGTTAAAGTGTTTGCTCGTCACACCGAAAGACCCAGGTCAACTCCCCACATGGTTACAATGTCTGAAGCCCATTTCTGGTGTGCGCACCATGAGTTGCTGGCATATTGCGGCGTAAGGCAAGGCTCTCTCTCACACTCACTGATGTTATTCTGAACCTGTTTCATGTTATTCTGCATCCATCCACACATGATTTTTTCTGAAAGTACTAAACAATACTTCTCTCTGTAGGTCTGAGAATTTCCAGAGCCACAATGAGAGCAGTGTGATCAACGTGACAATGTTCGGTCCGGCCATCTGGATACTGGATGAGAAGGTATACATCTACCTGGGCCTCGTCTTCTTCACAGTCCTCCTCAGCTTCGTGCAGGCGGGATTCTTCTTCTGGTTGGCCAACCGGGCAGCTGAGGTGCTCCACAACCTGGCCCTCACCTCCATCCTGGAGGCCCCCATGGCCTTCTTTGACATCAACAGTCCAGGTAATGTCCCCCACATCCCCTCCCCCCTCACCTCCATCCTGGAGGCCCCCATGGCCTTCTTTGACATCAACAGTCCAGGTAATGTCCCCCACATCCCCTCCCCCTCACCTCCATCCCCAAGACCCCCATGGCCTTCTTTGACATCATCAGTCCAGGTAATTTTCCCCACATCCCCCTCCCCCCTCACCTCCATCCTGGAGGCCCCCATGGCCTTCTTTGACATCAACAGTCCAGGTAATGTCTCCCACATCCTCCTCCCCCCTCACCTCCATCCCCAAGACCCCCATGGCCTTCTTTGACATCATCAGTCCAGGTAATTTTCCCCACATCCTCCTTCCCCCTGACCTCCATCCTGGATCCCCCCATGGCCTTCTTTGACATCAATGTTTTGCATACTTGGAAATAGTGGATGTGCAACTAACACATTAGGTCATTTCTGGATGTACCATGTCTTTCCGACTGCCTCCGTGGTCTAGTGGTAGAGCATCTGCCCGGAGAGCAGAAGGTCCGGGGTTTGATGTCCAGGGTTTCATCCCTGGCCGCGTCCTACCAAAAAAAGTTAAAAGATGGTACTTGTTGTTACCCTGTCTGGCGCTCGGCATTAAGGGGCTAAAACAAGGACTGGTCGGCTTGGAGTCAGTATACTGTGTCTGAGTGGGGTATTCATGTTAAACTGCGGCATGGTATCTCAGTGTGCTAGCACTATAAATCGGCATCAGTCCAGACTACTACAAACAGCCACACACACACACACACACACACACACACACACACACACACATGCATGCACGTCGCTATATAAGTTCAATAATCTTGGACGCGACGTTAAACCCAATTTTACCTCACCACCATGTCTTTCCTGGGTTCAGGTGGTGTCCTCAGCCGCTTTCTGAGGGATGTAGGAATTGTGGACACGATGCCACCAATACTGTTGGACTGTATACAGGTATGTTCGAAAATCACTTTTCACATGTTTGTGTTATTTTCGCTAATGCTTTTTAAACTTGGGTTGGTAGGAATAACATTACAAATAATTTAAGTATCTATGGATAGTGTATATTAAATTTGACATTAGCTTGTTTGGGTTGATTAAGTTAATGTTTCATATATAATTAAACATTGATATTTTGATAAAAATGTGAGATATGTACAATAGACAGCAATAAGTATTCAGTTCTGACACAGAATAATTTCAAACCTACACTTCTATGTTTATTGATAGGCCTTTCCTCTCATAAAATTGAATGATTAACCCACCATGACTAGCACTGGGCAATTGCAATCTATTGCAATACTCCATGGGATACAAGACCGCCTCGTTGGTCCAGTGGTAGAGTGTCCGCCCGGAGAGTGGAAGGTCCGGGGTTCGATACCCGGCCGCGTCATACCAAAAGATGTTAAAAGATGGTACTTGTTGTTACCTTGTCTGGCGCTCGGCATTAAGGGCTAAAACAAGGACTGGTCAGCTTGGAGTCAGTATACTGTGTCTGAGTGGGGTATTCATGTTAAACTGCGGCATGGTATCTCAGTGGGTTAGCACTTTAAATCAGCATCAGTCCGGACTAGTACAAGTAGCCACACACACACACACACACACACACACACACACACACATGCATGCACATCGCTATATAAGTGCAATAATCTTGGACGCGACATTAAACCCAATTTCACCTTCACCATGGGATATAAGTATTACAATGTATTACAATGTCTGACTTCGTTATTTCGCTGTAGTTACAATGTGTATATCTTGGATTTCTCTGAACTGGCGTTCAACTTCCTAGTGTTGGCTGTTTGTGTGTTTTTACGTCTCTGATGGTGTGTATTACTGCTCATGCCTTCAGTGCAATAATCTATGATGTGACATTAAACACATTTCACCTGATCCCTGTATGTTGTGCTGCAGTCGTTCAGTGTGCTGATAGCCACTGTGGTGGTGGTGGGGGCCACCAACTACTGGCTGCTGCTGGTGGTCACTCCGCTGACCATTGCCTTCATCGTGGCCCGACACTACTTCCACCAGTCCACACAGGACGTGGAGAAGATCGAACTGGCATGTAAGTACTCTGTGAATACTGGAATGTTGGCTGTGCAGATTGTAAGGAATATTCTTGTGTAAATTTTAACAACCCTATTGATAATCATAAGGAATCTCTGCTTAATGCTGAGTCCATTTCATGAGGGGGCACGGGTGGCTCAGTCGTCTAAGGCGCCGCGATGCGCTGTGCAGAGTTGCGTCCCTTGGGCACGCCAGAAACCTATGATTGTGGGTTCGAATCCCGGTTCGCCTCGATTATGTTTCTAGGTTTGTCAGCACCATACCCGTGCTCGTGGGTTTCACCAAAGTGGTAAATGTCTGAGACCTGCATCACTTCGGGCTTTCCTCCCACATAAAGCTGACATGCCGTGATATGACTGGAATACTGTTCAAAGCGGCCTTAAACACAACAACACATGATTCATGTCATTGTATGCAAAGTTTTACTGTCAAACAACATCAGTGGGCTGGCTGTCAAACAGTCTGACATCCCCAGTAGAACCTGAAACAGCTTGAAACAAATGTAAGATGCATAGGACGATATACAATAATCTGTCATGAAAAATAGTCTGGACATATTATTTGTTTGGGGAAAAAGGCTGAGTTGGGAATCTGGAATGTTAATTGTGTAGTTTGGTTCATTGTCAGGATTACTGCGCAAGTATTTTTTCCAGTCATATTGTCTGAGAATATTGCATGTGTAAAGTATCTAGGTATCTTGTGAACAAATAAGTATTCAATTACCCCTTATAGATCCGGAATTAGAATTGATCTTCAGGAATCTATCATAAGAGGCGACTAACAGGATTGGGTGGTCAGGCTCGTATCTCATTTACCTAAATTGATGGTAACTGTCATATGGCTGGAATATTGCTGAGTGCTGAGTTGAACAACAAACAAACACATACTGACCTAGGATGATGAGTGGGGTATTCATGTTAAACTACAACATGGTATCTCAGTGGGCTGGCACTACAAAACTGGAATTACTCCAGACTAGTACTAGCAGGCACACACACACATGTGCATGCACGTCGCTATGAAAGTGCAACAGGCAAACACACACATGTGCATGCACGTCGCTATGAAAGTGCAATGATCTTGAATGTGATATTAAACGCCATTTGTCTCCCTTATATCTATTTCTGTGACCTTCAGCCAAGAGTGCAGTGGGCGGCCACATCATCAGCAGCATGGAGGGTATCCAGACATTGCGGGCCTTCGGGGTGGAGCAGCGCTTCCTGCACAACTTTGACGTGAGCCAGGACCGTAGTACGGCAGCATGTTACCTTCACCTTGCTGCCAATCGATGGTTCGGGATGAGAGTCGACATCATCGCCTTCCTTGTTGTGGTCAGTGTGACCATTGGCGCCATATTGGTTGTTCAGTATCAAGGTAAGTGTTGAGCAAATGTCAGTGCTTCAGTTCGATATCAGTAGATACTAGCGGTGGTACGACTACTTATTGTCTGACATGAAATTATGAATGTGTATTGGCTGATAATGAAGGGTCAAGCAAATGATTTTATGTATTCACTTTGAATTCTTGATATATTTCAATATAGGACAATATTTTCAGTAATTATTTAGTTTTAATCATTGATAATACATTATCAATTTAGCTGAGTAAATTAAAATTTTGTGGAAATGTTTCTTCCTGCAAAGACTGTTATTTTTGTTATTGAAAGTATGTCAGTTGGGAAAGTAAGTAACCTTTTGATTTGTCATTAAGAAACAGTTAAGTTATGAAATAGAGGCCTCACTGATGTTTTCTTTTGTCCTTGTGCCATGGAGAGTAGCAATGGATAGTTTGATGAACCAATTCTGTCTGTTCCCCAGATGTGTGGATGCCAAGTAGCCTGGTGGGGCTGTCTCTCTTCTACGCCCTCAACCTGCTCAACGTGCAGCACCCTGCCATGAGGAAGTCGGCAGCCGTGCACTTCAAGGTGAGAAGCGTCTCCTGCATGTGTGCACCTTGCTCTGGTTGAGGTGAATCTGTTGACTAAACACCATGGGGATGCCAGGGCAGTATAGGTCCCCAGTACCCCATGCTTGTCTCCCTGTGAGGATTCCAGGGCAGAATAGGTCCCAAGTACCCCATGCTTGTCTCCCTGTAGGGATTCCAGGGCAGAATAGGTCCCCAGTACCCCATGCTTGTCTCCCTGTGGAGATTCTAGTTCAGAATAGGTCCCAAGTACCCATTGTTTGACTTCCTCTCCCAGTGCTGGTGATAATAGCTAACTTACCGGTAATAAGGCAGAATTTCCAGGACAGAATAGTCCTCCGATATGCAATATTTATCTTAAAATGAACTCACCAAAATATGGATGAGAAGGTGACTATGTCTCACCTTGCTGACCATGTGTCATCGTACCCCGTAGATGTGGAGGGTGTTGCTCATGTTGCCAGCTGGTTTGTGGTATTTGGGAACATTCATCAGCTCAATGTTATTTGAAATAAAATATGCATACAATAAACATGGGGATTAAATTTGGATCACTTGACTTCCAAAATGTGGGCTTCATGTAAATGCTGACATTTAAATAAGACAGCCAAGGAAATTTATGTTTTTTGATGATATTTTGCGTATATTCTCATAATGACTTTATTAAGGCCTACCAGCATGAGGACAAAGCCACTGACAACACTCCCTTTCATAATGTCCGTGTTTCAGATGAAGTCGGCCGAGCGGTTACTTCAGTATTACCAGATGTCTCCCGAGCTGGACGTTGCCGTGGATACAGAGGTGAAGCCGTCCCTGATGTGGCCCCAGTATGGGATCATCACCCTGGAGGGTGTGTCAGTGTCACACCCAGGGAAAGGGCCGTCTCCCCTCAAGGGGGTGTGGTGCTGTATCCGGGCCGAAGAAAAGGTGAGATGTGTAACAGTATAAACAATAGAAGTGGGTAGAGATTGTTCAGTGTACACACATGATGTTCACCCATAGTAATACCCTGGTCATGTTTATGATCACTGACCTGTAAAGATCCGGAGTAGAATAGGTCTTCAGCAACCCATGCTTGCCGTAAAAGGCGACTATGCTTGTCGTAAGAGGCGACTAACAGGATCGGGTGGTCAGGCTCGCTGACTTGGTTGATGCATGTCATCGATCCCAATTGCGTGGATTAATGCTCATGATGTCAATCACTGGATTGTCTGGTCCAGACTTGATTACTTACAGACCGACGTCATATAGCTGGAATATTGCTGAGTGCGGCATTAAACAACCAACCAACCAACCATTAGCAACCCATGCTTGCCATAAGAGGCGACTACTCTTGTCATAAAGAGGCAACTAACAGGATTGGGTGGTCAAGGTCGCTGACTTGGTTAATGCATGTCATTGTATCCCAATTGCGTGGATCGATGCTCATGATGTTGATCATGATTGTCAGGTCTAGACTTGATTATTTATAGACCGTCGTCATATAGCTGGAATATGGAGTGAGGCGTTAACAACAAACAATCAAATACTGACCATTTATGTTCACTAGTCTGCAAGAACGATCTTCTTAATGGTAAAGGTGGTAGTCCACATGGAGAGATCACTATAGTCCTTCCAAGGAGGTACTGTCACACCCTGCTGTGTTTTCCATAGCAAATTGTGTAAAGTGATTCATGTCTATAATTCATGCCAGAATTTCCTGGTCAGTTTGACATTTTAATCCAAGCCCCTGTGGGGATAACATGTCCGAATAGGTGCTCAGTGTCTCGTGCTTGTCACAAGATTGGGTGTGTTCAAAAGAGAACAAGTCTACCATAGAACATTGGAAAAAATTTGACTTATTGTCGGAACATAGGTTTACGGACATGATACATTTTCGGACGTCCTAGTTTATCGCAATTGCTCGCGCTATAACAGGCGGGTTTAGCATCCCACAGACAATGTAAATACTCAGATGATGGCTTGTATTTAAGAGAAAGTTGTCTTTTATTAGTGAATAAGATGTTCTACAGTTGTTCATGTTATTAGAGGTAAAACTATTAATGTTTCTAAGCATCCGAAAACCCATAACACAGGGATATAACAAATATGCATATTGTGTTTAAGATTGATTTATATAATAATGTTTTGTTGCTTCCAGATGGGCATAATGTTTAAGACGGCTGCTGAGCAGAAAGCCTTCATGTCTGTTCTATTCCGTCTCCATGACTACATAGGGGTGGTCCGTATTGACGGCATAGACATTGTCAACGTCAGTCTACAGCGTCTCCGGGACAAGATTGCTGTTATACAACAGGTAGAGGCAATAGCTAAAAGGAGCGGTACATCTCGGGGTGTGCAGGGATTTTATAGTAAAAAATCAATTACTAGGCCAACCCAATCGTTCCTTCACTGTCCCACCAATTTGTCTGTCCCTTCTCTCCTCTCACCCAAATGGGGCGGTCGGGTAGCCTAGTGGTTAAAGCGTTCGCTCGTCACGCCGAAGACCCGGGTTCAATTCCCGACATGGGTACAATGAGTGAAGCCCATTTCTGGTGTCCCCCGCTGTGATATTGCTGGAATATTGCTAAAAGCGGCGTAAAACCATACTCACTCACTCTCACCCAAATTTGTTTCCCGGGTATTTCAAAAGAAAGTTTGTGAATAGGGTAAGGGAAGTAACTCCTTGACTTGTTTCATTTGTATGTTTACTTTATTTCACCTAAGAGACAATACTAATAAGAGATCAAGTGATAACTGTTTATTTAAATTTTAAAACATTTGATCCGTATAAGTATCAGAAAATGAATGGCCTGATAGAAGAGTCAATCTACTTATGCACAAATGTCTGTAGTCAACTTAATGGAGCAGAAGAAAGGGGAGATAATTGAAGTTTTTCTATGGAAGCATCCTGAAGTATGGTGTTGAAAATTCAACAGTCAGATTAAAATGTGTCAGTTGTTTAAGTTTGTGAAACATTGTTTGTCACTGTTTCAGTTTAAGTTTCTTTGAGTTCATATGTTGCCATTTGTGTATTTCCCAGAATCCTACTCTGTTCACGGGGTCGCTGCGTCAGAATCTGGACCCGATCTCGAGGTACACGGATGCCCAGGTGTGGAGGGTCCTGGAGGAGGTAGGAGGTCGCTGTTTAATTAAGAATTGATTTCAATATTTGTTTACATTTATCGAAGTATCAACATAAACAGTTATGTACACACGGTGCAAATCTGCATATTACCACCATGTAGACGAGCTATTGTTTTAGATTTAAATTATTCAAAGATCAAATATATGTACCATGCAAGCAAGTCATGAGAGCCGCATCATACCAAGACACACACATCTACCTTCACATCCACCAGGTGAATCTGTCTTCCTTCGTGGAAACGCTGCCACAGCGACTATACGCTGACATCAGCACCGTCATCGACAGCTTCTCCACTGGTCATCGACAACTACTGCGACTGGCCCGTGCAATGCTTCGCCAGTCCAAGATTGTCGTGTATGAAGAACCTACCACCAGCCTGGATTACAAGTGAGTTGGTTAGACTGAGGATGTGAAGATTTCATGTTATCATTTATACCTATCGGTGATATGATAGCACCAACATATCACAGGGGGTGTAATAACCAGACCCGTATTACAGGCCCTGCTGGGCTGATATTGCTTGTCAATGCATTTTGAGAGGGCAATCGATATCAGCCTGGGTGGTAAGAAATTAGAGTTACGTCCCTTAGTATATGTCATCTGCTCAGCTAGCTTTCTTGTCACAATGACTTCCAACCAAGGTGAAAACGTTTTGCTGTCAATTTTATGTTATGGTATATAATAAAAAGGTTAATATATGGCAGTTTTTATATCATACCTCTTGGGTTGATATGGGGTGTGATATGAAAACTGACATATAATAATCCCTTATTATTTGTCTGAATCCAGGAAATCAAATGATATAAAGCCACTTTCAACACAGTTAGGACCAAAAAAGGTCTTTTGCTATGGTTGAAAGAATTGCATGGAACAAATAAAGAAATATTGCGCTCAATTCTGTTTGCCAAATGAACCATTAAGTGAAGAACATTTTGGTTTGAAGGTAATTGAAAATATATTTTAAGAATGTAATTCGCAGCAGTCTTTTCTTCATTATGAATATCCAACTGATATGAAAATAATGTTATTTTTTTCCTTTTCAGGTGCAATACAATTATACAAAAGCTGCTGAGAACTAAATTTGAGCGTTGTACCTTGATACACATAGCTCACCTGCCTGATACAATAATAGATACAGATAGGGTCATGGTGAGTACCTTAACACATTTAGTCTGCCTGATACATATAGCTCACATGCCTGATACATATAGCTCACCTGTCTGATACATATAGCTTACTGCCTGAAACATATAGCTCACCTGTCTGATACATATAGCTCACCTGATATAGATCACCTGCCTCATAGATATAGCTCACCTGCCTCATAGATATAGCTCACCTGATATAGCTCACCTGCCTGGTACATATAGCTTACCTGATATAGCTCATCTGTCTGATACATATAGCTCACCTGGCTGATACACATAGCTCACCTGATATAGCTCAATGGCCTGATACTTAAAGCTCACCTGATTTAGCTCACCTGCCTGATAGATATAGTTCACCGGATATAGCTCACCTGACTGATAGTTATAGCTCACCTGGCTGATACAAACCTTGACACAGATAAAGCTTTGCTGTATGCAGTATGATGAGTACCATCCATATGTGACAACCTGCCAGTGTATAAAACAGTGCATGATTTTAATTTAGAAACATTTACTTTGCCAGGGCAACAGTGTTTGGATAATTTGTAACAAAGGTGTATTTCTTCCACAGGTAATTTCTGAAGGTAGAATACAAGAAGTGGAATCACCTCACATTCTTCTACAAAATAAAAACAGCAGGTTCTATAAATTTACTGATGAACTTGGCATGTTTGAGATGCATCGTCTCAAAAAACTAGCTCAAGATAAGTATGAAAATAAACCCTACATCGCCCCCAACATCAACCCCGAAGACTTTGAGGAGGGGGCCTCGTCCCGGAACCAGCTCCGACATCCAAACAACCTGAATGTGCTGCCCACCTTCCATTCATCCCGATTGGTCGGAGTTCTTAACCAGCTGCCAACAAACAAGTTCTCCACCAATCGCTTGTAGTGTGTAATATCATGAATATTCATGATGGATATTCTTGAGCCGTGTGATATTGGATAAATCCAGAACTGCTTATACATCGCCTATAACTGCATTTCATTATCAATGACCAATCAGTTCCCAGATCATAGTGCAATCCCAGATGTACCACCTGAAATCATCCAATCTCATTTAAATCAGATCTTAGTTCTCGCTACCGCTAAACAAAGATCTGAGGACATCCCATTACAGGTCACGTCAGAACGACCTTTCGCGAATTTTGACTGACCAATGAAATGACTGACAAGAAATCAACATTGGCCAATCATAAGGGAGCTTTCTCTAGCTTTAGGACACTAGTTTCCACCTGGTGACTACGCTTCAAAACATATTTTGACGTTTTTTTCGATTGAAAAATTTAAAACTGATAAGAAGAACATTCTGGAATGGCTCATAGATGGCCTAGCTTGTATGGATATAATCATTATGACATAAAACCCGTAACTGTCGTTCGGAATACCCCGTGTTAAATATATCGTGGTTGCATGATTAGAAAATACATTCCGATTGTCACTTTCCTGATCTGGTAAGTGACGCTCTGATTGGTTGGATGAAAGGTCGTTCTGACGAGACGCGTAATGGGATGTCCTCAGATCTTTGTTTAACGATATTGAAAACTAAAATCTGTTTTTAAGATTGGAAATCATCCTGATTAACAGATTTCCACTTTAATAAATCATTTGAAGTGTTTCTAGTATATACATATACGTTGTAACAAGTGACATAAGCTGTGGAATTGTGGGATTGATGCGTTATCAGTATAATTTTTACGAGGGATTATTCACAAAAATATGAGCTGTCACACGTTTTCAGATGTGTGGACCGATGGTCATTGAAACAATCTCCAAGGACACGGTACTTCTTCTGATGTCCACCATTAATGAGGAAAAGGAAGATATCAAAGCAGCCAATGAGAGAGATTGTTACAGTTTATGATAATATCATCGGGTCCAATCACAATTTGTGTTTCAAAGTGAAGTTCTCTGCATCAGCCTCACTACGTCATTCCAAGAAGTAGTTTATGGCTGTAGCATCAATAGTATCTCCATGGATGCTCATATGCTCATATGCTCATATGCCTTCCTCTGCAACTACATGCCTTAGTAGTGAAACTTGTAAATCACCCATTTGGATGAGGGACATCTTGACTTCTGTGTTGCCTTCCCAGCTGTGTCTGGACAAGGTCATCTGGTCCAGATTGAGGTTTGAAAATGACTAGCTTATTAATAAAGTCTGCATGTTGACACCAAAATCTGCTGGATAATGTGATATTAGACTAAATATTTTAACATGCAGATGTTAAGTGGCTGGCATTTTTCTTGCCTGTTTACTGTTTTGTATTAGGATTTGTCTTTAGTTTAACGCTGCACTCTTCAATATTCCAACTCTGATGGTGGATGTGAATAAATAAGTCTGCACTGGACAAACAGTGACTGATATTATGAGGAACATTCCCCGCCATTTAGGGAACAATGACATGCAATAAACCAAGTTGCAGAGCCTGCCCTCCTGATCCATTCAGTCACCAACCCGTGAAGATCCGGGGTAGAATAGGTCTTCAGCAACCCATGCTTGTTGTAAAAGGTGACTAAGGGGATCAGGTGGTCAGGCTCGCTGACTTGGTTGATGCATGTCATCGATCCCAATTGTGTGGATCAATGCTCATGATGTCAATCAGTGGATTGTCTGGTCCAGACTCGATTATTTACAGACTGCCGTCAATTATTATAGCTGGAATATTGTTGAGTGCGGCGTTAAACAACAAACAAACAAACAAACAAACAAACAAATGTTTAGTCACCACATAACACAAGCATAAGTTGCTCGGGACCAAGTCTATCCCAGAATCCCCGCGGGGTTACGTTGTTTCAGGAAACCCTGATTGATGTTTTATGATGATATGTGGTGTTAATTTCAGATCTCAAGTTATCAGGGACCACTTGATATATTGATGTGCTGTTGCCATGGTTACAGATTCTAGATATTGTATAAATGTGAAGGAGAGTTAGGCAGTGTATAAATGTATGATATTGCATATTATTTTGTATATTGCATCGCGGTCCATTGTACCATCTGTCTCACTGTGTTAACATGTCACATTTCATGTCTGTATTTTCTTGCTTTTTGTTCAACAAGTTAGGTGAGGATGTTCTCCTTTTTCATCATGAAACTGTTTATTTAATGGGGAATCTCTTCACAATAGAATGTTTTACTGTGATATAGTACCTCCCAGTGGCGGATCCAGAGGGGTTTCTGGGGTGTGTCCAACCCTTTTTTACATGTGATTACATTTTGTATGCACATTGCCTACCATGATAACATGTTGATTTGGCTGCTAAAGCAAAATGAATAATGGTTTACATATAGTGTTTGTGATTTTTTGGTAGGCTTTGGGGTGGACTCTCACTCCCTCTGAAATTGCAAATGGCCGAAGTGGATCCTGGATCCGCCCCTGCCTCTCTTCGGGGAGAGCTGACAAACTTTTTTCGTAGGAGGTCATGATGGGTGAACTTTCTTATCAGCCAATCAACGACAACTAAATTTTCATTGAGTGAGCCAAACACTCCCAGTCACATGTCTTATCTTGAAAATGAGCATAAATGGGCAGTTCTGAATACAAAGGATGAAAGTTGCGCTATATATTATCTGGATATGTTCCTGATATGTTCAAGGGAATATTTCTTGTCTGGTGGATTTCAAAATTGAGGTGTTAAAAATTGAAGCCAAACTGTTTTGAACGACTGACATTTGTTTTGCTCAAGAACCAACGCATCCTTCACCTAGATATAGTGGTTAGAGTTCATTGAGCGTTCCCCTGACAAGGTTTTGTCAGATCTTCATGCAGAGAGATATCACTTTGGAGTAAATGATGTGATCTAATAGGTGTTTTAGGATAGGATTTTCAAAAGATGAACAGTGAATATTTTCTATACATTAACGTCATTGGTACTTGATGTACTCAGCATTATATCAGACATGTCTAGTCCCAAAGGTTTTGTCTTTTTTGCACTAGTCAAAATATTATATATTTTTTCTGAATCTGTGATATGCTGTAGTAATATATGTGCATAAGTAGGAGATTATGAATAAGCACCTTGACACCCATGGATGTATTGCTATTGTCTGTCTATTGTCCTTGAACAATGTTGTCTATTGATCTATTGCCTTTGGTGTAAGTTAGTTCTATTGTTCTGATATCCCTTTCTGGTTTTCAGTACCTCTGTGATGGAAACTGAGTTTTTATGTCATAATGGAACAGCCTACAAATATCTCGATATTATGTCGATAGCGATAAACAAATATCGTACGCGATTGTGAGCCTTTGCGTACCGACTCACATCAGCCAAGTCCATGTCCTATATTTCATTGTGGCTGTTTATGTGTACACGCAGTGTGGAAAACTTGTGTCCTGTGCGTTTTTGAAGGCTGTAAGCATTGTGTTTTGAGAGGAATTCTTTCACTTTCTTCAAAGTATAGGACTGACTTTTTATTGAGAGCATTTTGAAATTTCTCGGGTCCATAAAATGCCCCTGGAGAACAAGAGTTGAAATGTTAGTGTTCCAAAATGTTTCCCTTCCCGACACTGAAACAATCTAAACCTGCTGATCTTTCTTATAATTGAAGAAAAAAATTAAATCATAAGCAACTATACAAAAGAAAACACATTGAATACTATTCTATGTTAGAATTTTATTGAAACACTCGTTCTAATTGTAGCATGTTCACAACATTTCCATAACTCTGTGACCCACAGCGTGGTTTAGAAACGTGTATCCAGATAGTCTATGCTTTGTTTTATTTGTTGTTTAAAGCCACTCTCAGCAGTATTCCAGCTGTATGATGGGGGTCTGTAAATAATCGAGTCCTGATAATGCAGTGTTTGACATCATGAGCATTGATCCACACAATTGAGATACGTGCATCAACCAAGTCAGCGAGCCTGACCACCCGATTCTGTTAGTTGCCTCTTAGGACAAGCATAGTTGCCTTTTACAGCAAGCATGGGTTGCTGAAGACCTGTCCTAACTCAGATCTTCAAGGGTGTGGTAGTCTTTGCAATGATATTGATATAAGGTGAAGGAAGATACATTATTCACAGCTGGGTCGTCGTGAATCAGTCGAATCCAGTTTTTAATCACGTGATCATCACAAAGCCATTGCACAATATTAGTTGACTTTCTCTTGCTCTGACAGATTCTGACAAGTGGGAACTTGTTCTGATTCGAACATGCAACCGAAACAGAAGTGTACAGTGAGACGTCTGATGATTGTACATAGTTCAAGAGAGTAACACAATGTCAGCAAGGATTCGATATATTGAATCGTATGAACAGCTTCTACTTCATCCACGAGAACTTTCTCCAGACGCATTTTCTTGACTATCACTTGTTTCGTTGCCCTAACATTATCCTACAATCTGATCCTAGTATCTTTCACACACTGGTCTCTGTCTTGAAACAATTGAGACAACAATGTGCGACGACTGTTTCATTCAAATTCATTCTTAATCCTTTCATCCAGCTGGTCTTTTCACAGTCCTCTCTTATAGACAAGTACATGCACTTTTTAAAACAATTGCACCCATCAAATCACATACATAAGTGTTTTCGTTCCCTGAATTCGTAAAGTCCAAACTTTGATAGTTGTTGAAAATAATTTGAATATATGAACACACAATGCCTTTTAGAAAGAGGTCAAATGTAGCAAATGTTATATTTGGGATAAAACTTCCTTTGTAAAGTACAGATTCTAGTACTTTTTGGGGTTGTCCAGATGGGACTCAACCCAAAAAAGTACTAGAATCTGTATTTTACAAAGGAAGAGTTATCCCAAATATAACATTTGTTAAATTTGGATATATATACAGGGTACTAACAGGTTGTCGGAACATGATACATTAACAATAGTGTCAACTTCAATCACTTTGTGGAACAAAAGAAGGGCTACCAATAGAACTAAATTACATCCAAGGCAACAGAACAATAGACAACATTGTTCAAGGACAATAGATAACTTTGTTCAAGGACACTAGACAGACAATAGCAATTCATCCAAGGATGGGTAGGTACTTATTAAAAATCTCTACCCATGTAGATCCGGTTTAGAACAGGTCTTCTGCAACCCATGCTTGCCGTAAAAGGCAATATGTTTGTCAAAAGAGGCAACTAACGGGATTGTGTGGTCAGGCTCGCTGACTTGGTTGATTCATGTCATCGTATCCCAATGCGTGGATCGATGCTCATGGTGTCAAGTCACTGGATTGTCTGGTCCAGACTTGATTATTTACAGACCGCCGTCATATAGCTGGAATATTGCTGTGTGCGGCATAAAACAACAAACAACATATTAATAATCTCCTACTTGCATGGAACTGACCAATCTCATTTATGTCAGATCTGGGTTCTTACTTCCCCTATACAAGGTTCAGAGGACATCCCACTACAGGTCACATCAGAAGGACCTTTCATCCGATCAAACACAGCATCTCTTACCAGATCAGGAAAATGGCAGTTGGAATGTGTGTCTTGTGGTTACTGATTCCTAATAACGGTAACGGGTCCTATGACTGATTCTGTCAAAATCATCGTCTGTCTGTCGCTTCAATGAGATAAACATTTGAAATGGAAGAGACTTTCCACAGCCTTTGGGAAGTATCTATTCGTCATCCCAAAATATTCTGTTGTTCAGTTTTAAAATTTGCAATCGAGAACTTTCAAAATACTTTTCAAAGCATAGTCTGGAATGGAAGTTGCAAGTTTGAAACTAGTGCTGTAAACCTTAGAAAGCTACTTTCTGATTGGCTAATATGGACTTGTTCAAAGTTCGCAAACGGCCATTCTGATGTAACCTGCATGGAATGTCCTCATTTGTTTGTGTAGCGGTAGCGAGAACTAAGATCTGATTTGAATGAGATTGAGGACTGACAGTTGTGACGGCATGATAGTAGACAGACTGCTCCACAGGAAGAAGTGATGTTACTGAGAAAACTATCTCAGCTCTCATACTGGGGATAGTTGTACAGTTAAACCCTTTGTGCAAGTGGTCCCATACATGGAGGTACGATAGTGTTTGTGCTAAGATCTTTGTTTCTGGGGCCCAATCCTATCTGACAGTTACACTCATATCAACTTAATCTCGCAGTCTTAGCTTTTGATTAACACAAACCTGTATTGATAGAGTTATGGACTAGGTATATTTTGTGTATTTCTCATCTATTGACCTAAATTCCATCTCTTTCTAAACAAAAAATGACCTGCCTTTTTCTTTTTTAAAGCTTTCCACACTGAAACAGCAGGTGGTGCACTTCATGCATATTACTGAAATACTGTTCAAATCAGTGTAAAACCACTCATTCATCCCGTTGAGCATTATGAAGTGCTATTAGTGTATAAACCATTTTAGTGTTTAAAAAAAATGTCACTGTTACATTCCATTTGTATAACATGTTCTACTTAACGATTTGTGACTGCTACTGATTCTACTGCGACTCAATTTGTACATTTTACAATGTAGTTGTATATTTTTACATTTGTTTGTACAGCATGTAAATAAAAGTATTCCTCCTGCGTGTTGTGTCTATTGCAGTGGGGCTTGTGTACCGCCAACACATACCAGTTTACCAAACTACGGACATTCTTGCATGTACAGGGGACATGGATGGCCCAGTCTTCAAATTGCTCTGCAGAGTTGCATCCCTTGGACATGCCAGAAACCAATGATTGTGGATTTGAATTGCAATCCAAGACAGCCAACAGGCCTCCTTGTGATCCAAGACGGCCAACAGGCCACCTTGTGATCCAAGACGGCCAACAGGCCTCCTTGTCATCCAAGACAGCCAACAGGCCACCTTGTCATCCAAGACAGCCAACTGGCCTCCTTGTCATCCAAGACGGCCAACAGGCCTCCTCGTCATCCAAGACAGCCAACAGGCCTCCTTGTGATCCAAGACGGCCAACAGGCCTCCTTGTGATCCAAGACGGCCAACAGGCTTCCTTGTCATCCAAGACAGCCAACAGGCCACCTTGTCATCCAAGACAGCAAACTGGCCTCCTTGTGATCCAAGACGGCCAACTGGCCTCCTTGTCATCCAAGACAGCCAACAGGCCACCTCGTGATCCAAGACAGCCAACAGGCCACCTCGTGATCCAAGACAGCCAACAGGCCACCTCGTGATCCAAGACAGCCAACAGGCCACCTTGTCATCCAAGACGGCCAACAGGCCACCTTGTCATCCAAGACGGCCAACAGGCCTCCTTGTGATCCAAGACAACCAACAGGCCTCCTCGTGATCCAAGACAACCAACAGGCCTCCTCGTCATCCAAGACGGCCAACAGGCCTCTTTGTGATCCAAGACGGCCAACAGGCCTCCTTGTGATCCAAAACGGCCAACAGGCCTCCTTGTGATCCAAAACGGCCAACAGGCCTCCTCGTGATCCAAGACGGCCAACAGGCCTCCTCGTGATCCAAGACGGCCAACAGGCCTCCTCGTGATCCAAGACGGCCAACAGGCCTCCTCGTGATCCAAGACAGCCAACAGGCCTCCTCGTGATCCAAGACAGCCAACAGGCCTCCTTGTGATCCAAGACAGCCAACAGGCCTCCTTGTGATCCAAGACAACCAACAGGCCTCCTCGTCATCCAAGACAGCCAACAGGCCTCCTTGTGATCCAAGACAGCCAACAGGCCTCCTTGTGATCCAAGACAGCCAACAGGCCACCTTGTGATCCAAGACAGCAAACTGGCCACCTTGTCATCCAAGACAGCAAACTGGCCTCCTTGTCATCCAAGACAGCCAACAGGCCTCCTCGTGATCCAAGACGGCCAACAGGCCTCCTCGTGATCCAAGACGGCCAACAGGCCTCCTTGTGATCCAAGACGGCCAACAGGCCTCCTTGTGATCCAAGACAGCCAACAGGCCTCCTTGTGATCCAAGACAGCCAACAGGCCTCCTTGTGATCCAAGACAGCCAACAGGCCTCCTCGTCATCCAAGACAACCAACAGGCCTCCTCATCATCCAAGACGGCCAACAGGCCTCCTTGTGATCCAAGACAGCCAACAGGCCTCCTTGTGATCCAAGACAGCCAACAGGCCTCCTTGTGATCCAAGACAGCCAACAGGCCTCCTTGTGATCCAAGACAGCCAACAGGCCACCTTGTGATCCAAGACAGCCAACAGGCCACCTTGTGATCCAAGACAGCCAACAGGCCACCTTGTGATCCAAGACAGCCAACAGGCCTCCTTGTGATCCAAGACAGCCAACAGGCCACCTTGTGATCCAAGACAGCCAACAGGCCTCCTTGTGATCCAAGACAGCCAACAGGCCACCTTGTGATCCAAGACAGCCAACAGGCCTCCTTGTGATCCAAGACAGCCAACAGGCCTCCTTGTGATCCAAGACAACCAACAGGCCTCCTTGTGATCCAAGACGGCCAACAGGCCTCCTTGTCATCCAAGACGGCCAACAGGCCTCCTTGTCATCCAAGACAGCCAACAGGCCTCCTTGTGATCCAAGACAGCCAACAGGCCTCCTTGTGATCCAAGACAACCAACAGGCCTCCTTGTCATCCAAGACAACCAACAGGCCACCTTGTCATCCAAGACAACCAACAGGCCACCTTGTCATCCAAGACAACCAACAGGCCTCCTTGTCATCCAAGACAGCCAACAGGCCTCCTTGTCATCCAAGACAGCCTTTTATTCATTTTTTAATTGGAATAAGCAGTAACATTATTAAAAACATAAATGGCAGTTCTAGTATTTCAACAGTTTTATTAGAAAACAACAAATAACAAGTCTGATACTCAGTATCTCATTGCACCACAGACAAAAACCACCCAGAGTGTATTGCTGATAATATCCCTCTGGACTGGGAGGCATGGACAGCTGACACAAGGGGGGGTCAAATACCAACATCGGTGGTTAAAATAGACAGGTGTTTCGGACAACCCGTGGTACTGGCATACACTGAACTCACAGTCAGTAGCTACTGGCTGGACATGCACAACTGGAGTTACAGTAAATGTTCTTATATATAGCCATTTCTTAAATCCTATCATGTACTGATTTTCTGATACACATGTATATTTCAAACTGAAACTGACATGATTTTAATACAGAAACTAAAATTATTCTCCAATGACATTTTTGTTGCCATGGCAATAGTCATTTGTCTTACTCTTTCCATTGCTTCGTGTGTCACTGCATTACAAGTCTTACCCAGTACTTGCGACCATCTGGAGGAACAGTGCCCCGGTACCAATATTTCAGCAGGGTATCAGTGTGATTTTTAACATTTATCAATTATTATGTCACATGTAGATATTTTCAAAAGATACATGGAATTTGGGGATATTATGAAAATAAGGAAGAGATTATGCTTAACGTTTTTTCCTGTTCATGTATGTTGACACCCCCAAACAATTACCCTGTACGTAGCTCATTAACAGTCTGTTCAGGCATTAGGACATTGGGAAGATTTAGCATTAGCATTTTTTTTCTAAAGATTGTGGTTTCATCCTTCAGGTTTATAGCTACTGAAATAATAATGAACAACAAGAAACGAGGGATTCATTGATATGATCTACCTACAGCCTGGGGGTAGGTTTGTGTAGATAAAGAGCACTGTTGGGATGCTGGAAGGACAAGAAATGCTTACTGTATTAGTGTTTACTACTGCATGATCTACCCCTAGCGGGGCTCATATCAGACTCAGCTACCATGGGACAATGTGTGACGTCCATTTGGGGAATATTGCATAACTTGGAGTAACACCTCACTCCTCACTTACTTATTCACTCCCCTCCTCCTTCCCATCGTTTATTCCTCACTCCCATTCTCCCTCACTCACTCATTCACTCCCATCCGCCCATCCATTCTTCCTCCCTCACTCAATCACTACTGGAATCACAGAGAGCTGGGTGCTTCGTACTTCCAATAGTTTCAATGTAACTGTACAGGCAGTTCTGATTCTTGTGATACTAACCATCTCTTGCCATCCCTCATACCAGCCTCTGGCCCTAACTCAGCACATTGTAATGCAATCACAGCTATACACAAGGATTTACAAGCACCAGTGTCTTAGCGACACATATCATTAACATCTAACATTCAACCATATATACATCACGAACAAATATGCATTCAAATATTTGGTTCATTCAACAAAAGATATCCCTGAATTCCTCGACTGTTATTTGAATTGACCAATCAGATTCCAACAACATTCAAGCACATTCACATGAAATTCAACGTTCAACCACATCGATATCAAATAGTAAATATACTGATTCAATGTATTAAGTGACCAGATGCGTAAAAAGACTCGGGGTGGGTGGGTGTTTTTCACAGACTACCCATGACGTATCATTTTCAATTACTGTCAGTTTCTGAAAAGTACATTACAACAAAAATACTAATAGAAAGATCTTTTACTCTGATACAAGATCTCTGTGTGTGAAGAGCTGAGATATCTCCCTAGAAGCTAAATTCTTCGTCACATGGGCAGTGTTTCAAACACAGTTACCAGGTATAAAATATTCATAGTGAAGCTTTATTCTTTTGCATTCAGACACCCCCAAATATATTGAAATTGTACCAAGAAGTTGGAAGCCTTGACCCTGATTGGATATGACAGGACTTCTGGAGGTGTCCTTGGGTCTTCATGCAGACTATCGCAGAGAAGGTATCGTATCACAGTAATAGATCTGATTTCAATGAGATTGGGAATGCAAGATCTGCATGAAATCTGGAAAAAAAGGATACTTGAAAATTCCCTGTCAGAACTTGGGGTTGACTTAATCATATTAACTTGTTAAATATGTTACTTTTCAAACACTGATTTCTGACATTAGTGTTGAAAAACATGGATAAGAAGTCTCCTGTTTGACATTGTCTTGTCATGATGTATATAGTATCCACCCTGGTATTTGAAACATGAAAAGATCAAATTAACAATATTTACTAAAATACAGTAATTCATGTAAAAATAATATCATGGACCTGACCAGATATGGAATGAGGTATTTTATATTATAAAGCAATAGACATCTTTGAAATATATTTGCTTCCATCATGACTACAAACATTTAATCACATTGATAGACACAAAGACCAGTGAGAATGGAAACAACGGCACTTGGGCTTATTGTTCATTGTTTCAAATGTAAGGCAAACCAGATTGTTCTCTGGCTTATCCTGGGAATATTTGAAGTGCAAAGGAAGTCTTTATAAAGAATGTCACTCAGTTGTTGGAATTTAATACTTAAAAGCTGGACATATTTTACTGGGTTATTATAATTCTCGATAAGCTTGAAATCTCTTTATCATGTTTATGTAAGTATTTCCAAAAGTTTGCCTTAATACTGTATCAACTGGAATAATAATAATAATTTAAAAAAACAACATGAGCATCAGTAGATTGACATAATAACTTCTGTATATCATGTTATCATCAACAGCAGTTCTTTTAAATATCCATACTTTGAGCATCCATTTAGGCTTCTGGTCTGATCAATCAGACCATCTTTTTGAAAGATCTGGACCTGTTTCGCAAATGATCATAAAGCTATGGTGTCATAGGTCTTTGTTAAAGATGGGGATTTACAATAGTCAAAGCACAATGATCGCCCCGTGAACAGGGTCCTGTACTTCACCAGGCCGAGATCTGTACATCAAGAACCTGTCCTGGATCTGGCAGTGTCTGGCCAAAAACAGATCCCACACATTCATGTCCCCTTAGATAATGTACAATCGCTTCATAAAAAATAAGAAATCTCAGCATTTCCTATCTGACATACTCCCTTTGGAATATTTGGTTAGTCGCTTCAGTTCACAAATAAAATAATATTTCCGTTATCACAGACACATGTTTAAAAGACACGAGGTAATTTGTTTGGCAGGTTTGTGACCATGTGACTTGTAAATATGTTATATTTTGTAGCCACTGAGGTATAAAAGGTCGAATCTTCTTCATCCAACCTGTGAACATGTTCTCTTTAGGACACCACGCCCCTATGGTTCTCAGTTGATGAAGGGATGAAAATGATGGGTCCAGATGACCTTGATAAGAGTGAGTCAACTTTGCACAGTCACGGACGGTTCACATGATGGTGTGACATGATCTCGTTCTCCACGGGATAACATCCAGGCTTCCAGCATGCAGGTCAATACTCAAAGTTTTCACATCTTTCAGATTGTGAACCATGTCAATACACACTGTAACCATAGCAAGCATGTCATTATTGATGAGAAATCTAACTTCTTGGTTCAACGAGGTTTAATGTTCATCCTCTGACATCCTGCAGGCAGAGATGCTCCTCCTGAACTGGGTGTAAGCACTTTGTACATAGCTGAGAATGTCAAACTGGCCAAGAGGCACCTGCTGGAGTAGTCAATACATGCTTGTGCTATCAGGAACTACACACAGGGCAACTGTAGACCATGACATTACTCATGAGATCCTGGACACACAGTAGTGTAAGTGCCTGAAGCAGAGACTCTCCTACGTGGACTTCTTAAGGGATGCCCTTCATAGTCTTCATAGCTTCCAGGTGTCACCCCCCCTGACAGGCCCTACAAGAACTGGCACTAAACCACGCTCACCCTGACCTGTTGGACCAGGACGTCTTCAGATCTACTGCCAGACATTATATCTGACCTCTGGCCCACATGTTGCCTGGCAAAACCATACAAGATACACAATTATGGTAAACTCGGTTGTCAGTTGTCATATATTGTGATCTCTTGACATACTGATCTTCAATGTCATGATCATTTGTAAGTTGTGATCTTTGATCCACTGCGATCTTCAGTATATGAATTGAAATCTTTACTTTATCGCAATCTTTCATACATTGTGATCTTTAGTTTATCTTGATCTGGTATATCATGATCTTCGGTACTTTTTGATCTTCACATCCTGATGTTCAGCACATCTTCAGTACCACATGATCTTCTGAATATTATGATCTTCAGTGATCTTCAGTGATCTTCGTGACATCATGATCTTCAGTAAATGGTGCCCAACGACTGGGCTCCCAAAGACTGGACGAGGTGAATCTAAGGGCAGACGTCACCCTGGCATCCTGGGCAGGAGATGAAGGAGTGGTGTGTGTCGACACTGGCGTCACCCGGGAGACAGGAGCCCGAAATTAAGCCTGAAGGCCATCTCCACGACGTTCTGTGGTGTTGACTCGTGGAAACACACATACACCTCCTGCTTCACAGGGCGGCTGTACTTGCGCCTGCAACACACAAACAAGTCAAGCTGGAATTGGGGAAAAGGAAAATTTCTTGTCAATATTTCAGTGTTAGATAACGCTGCACTCAGCAATATTCCAGTAATATTTTAGCGGCGTGTAAATAATCAAGTCTGGACCAGACGATCCAGTGATTGATATCGTGAGCAACGATTCACATCGTCGGGTACGATGACACACCATGAACCAAGCCAGCCAAGTCTATTAAGTGGCCTCTCATGTCCAGCATAGGTTGCTGGGGATGACCAGGGTCCGGTTGTACAAAACAACCTCAGCACTACGACAGTCGTAGCTTTATGTTAAATATGGGAGTTATGATCACCTTAGTGCTAAGATCACTTTATACAACGGCACCCAGGATATTAGCAGGGAATTGAATGTTGACATATTGTGAATGTTTACATATTGTGAATGTTGACATATTCAGTATTATTACATCAATTTCATAACTGCTTGAAAACAATGAAATCTGGATTAAACCAGTGGTTGATAGCATTAGCACTATCATCAAGGTATGAAAAGATTGGTCTTGGATATTATAAAGAAAGTCCTCGACTAAAGAACATGGCTTGTGTTTCGCATGACAAACTTACCCTACAACCCAGTATGCTAGTGATTGTTTGGTTCGGCGGGAGTCTGACCCCGGCTGGGAGGGGCAGTGGAACAGCACACCCTGCTCCCGGATGCTGATCAGGTTCCGGTCTGGGTACAGTACAGGCTCATCCTCCTGGTTCACAAGGGCCTGAAATAAGAAATCAGTCAGTTGGGTTCTATGCTGATTTAAAGGTGAGGTGAATGTGGGAGGGGCGTGATGGATGTGGGAGGGACGTGATGGATGTGGTAGGGGCGTGATGGATGTGGGAGGGACATGATGGATGTGGGAGGGGCGTGATGGATGTGGGAGGGATGTGATGGATATGGGAGGGGCGTGATGGATGTGAGAGGGACGTGATGGATGTGGGAGGGGCGTGATGGATATGGGAGGGGCATGATTGATGTGGGAGGGACATGATGGATGTGGGAGGGGCGTGATGTATGTGGGAGGGACGTGATGGATGTGGGAGGGACGTGATGGATGTGGGAGGGGCGTGATGGATGTGGGAGGGATGTGATCGATGTGGGAGGGGCGTGATGGATGTGCGAGGGGCGTGATGGATGTAGGAGGGACGTGATGGATGTGGGAGGGGCATGATGATGTAGGAGGGGCGTGATGGATGTGGGAGGGGCGTGATGGATGTGGGAGGGACGTGATGGATGTGGGAGGGACGTGATGGATGTGGGAGGAACGTGATGACTGTGGGAGGGGCATGATGGATGTGGGAGGGACATGATGGATGTGGGAGGGACGTGATGGATGTGGTAGATATTAATCTGGAGAAACCCACAAGCACAGTTATGATGCTGACAAGATGGACAAATCACCCATCACCCTACATAAATGCAGATGATTAAGGTTATCACGATACATTTGATGAAGTGATTATGGGGATGATGATGTGATTATGATGATGATGTGATTATGACGATGATGTCACGTGGATGATGTGATTATGATGATGATTATGAAGATAGTGACCATGTGATTATGATGATGTGGATGATGTGATTATGATTATGATCATTATTATTATTTATTTTTTTAATTCCATTTTCCATCATATTATACATTTCAGTATCATACATAGAGTGTGCATGGATTTATTATGACATTGGCATGTTTGTAGCATGGACAGATCCGATATCATAGTTATAATGATCATTATGATGAATATGGTGATGCTGATGCAGGTGATTCAGCTGACGCCCTGACTTACCCTGTAGGTGATGGCGCTGCGGAACATGGCCTGTATCTGTGTGCAGCAGCGGTAGAAGTTGTGAATGAGCTGTGCGTGGAGGGGCGCGGCCGCGTCGGGGAGGGGGGAGGTGATGTACAGCCCCTCCAGGGTATCCATGCTGCAGTAGTGAAACAGGCAGTTCTCGGCCCCATCCGTCACCCTACAGAGAGAACAGTCTCAGTATTCTCCGTCTTTCCACATGTAAATAGGGGGTCATAACTGAACAATACAACAAGAAGAAGTTATCTTATTCCCCACCATTTGTCCAGTCTAGAAGACAATGATACATGCAATCAAATGTGACATGGTAAATTTATCAGTTTGTCCATCTGCTTGTGGAAGAGGTTGGATATAAGAGTAAGTGTATACCATTTCCATGTAATGTGGACAAATATCTGCTTTGGTAAGACTGTAATGATAAACAAAGGTCAGAATCATCTTCAAGGCTAAAAATATTTTGCATCCATAAATTGTATTGTAGAGCAGTGATATACAGGAAAGTATCGCTACCCTTTGCCGGCAGTTACCAGAGAAAGGTACATGGTACAGATAAGGAACATAAGGTGTGAGCATGCTGACCCCTCAAAACCTGGTGAATTTCTAACACATCTACTATGAATCCTTTTATAGCTTTGCTTGTTGCAGTGACTACTGGTGTACCATTTAATTGAAATAAGAAAATAAAACACAATCTTAAAATCTTCAAAGAACAATGACCATAACAGCCTAGGACTGATATTGTACAAAGTGTCATGAAGAAGTACATAACAGAACTAAGGTAAAACTGTTAAGATTGCTTCAATTCAAGTCTGAATTTATAAAATTTATATAAAAACAAAACAATTGGGGGCATCATTAATAGCAAAAGGCACATCTACACTGTATGGTGAATGTGTTTAACCAAGTTTCTTAACAGATATCTCGGAAATAATTTTCAAGTTCTACTCTGGAAATGAAACCCACAGCTTCCATTCAGTGCAGAGACTACAAAGTACAAATTTAAAATAATTATATAATATATATTAAAAATGCTGGGGAAACCTAAATAGCAAAAGGCACATCTTCACCATATGGTGAATGTTTGTACCAAGTTTTGTAAAGTTATCTCTAATGGTTTCTGAGTTTGCTCCAGAAATGAAGTGTGACGGACAGTCAGTGCCTGTTTCTATATCCCCCGCCAACTTTGTTGCGATGGTGGAAAAAAAATTGATTGCTAAGATAAAAAACTCTTTAACAAACTTTAATCTTTGTTTTTGTATTGATGATGAGGATCAGACAAAACATCTTTTTGTTATCCTTGGTCGCCTAAATATTTCATCCAAAATGAGCAGCCTTACCGAACAACTAGCCAAGAACCAGCAAGGTAAAAAACCTAATCATTATCAGTGACATTATTATATTCCTTCAGTTCATTTGCCTTGACAAAATAATAATTTCAAATCCTAGAGATTAATTTTCATCTGAGGTCTGACTCTATTTCAGTTGATATTTAAACATTTACACTATTTTACAGTAGACTTGCAATGAACAACTCCACTATCTAGAAGGATGATGATATATGTTTACAAAGCACATACACAAGGGACAGAGGAAGCGAACTTACTTTGGACTCAACCAGTCAGTGGTGTTGCTGCCCCCTGGATGAGTTGTCTCCCCTGCCGTCGGGAACATCCGCTGTCGTCTCTGACTCTGAAAAGTGAAAGATCAGTTTTGATGGTTACAGCTTCTTTGTAGTAGATAGAATAGTATCACCCATCACCCATATTCAACATCTTCCCGAGGCAAGAGAGTTAACTGACTTTAAAAGTCAAGTTTCCACCCTTGCCGAACTAGACTGGAATTACTGGGATCGATCGTAGCACCACCAGTGGCTATTACCAGTTATGTCCCTTCTAAACCTCTCCATTGGACCAATCAGATTCCACCTCTCGTATCACTTGCATTTGCTTCACTCAAAATGGTGGCGCCGAGTCAGGACGATCTGATCGATAATCAGATCTATATTGTGATAAAACGGGTCTTACATCGCGAAATGCATCAAATCACGCGAGCACCTTGATTAAAAACATGAAAAGATTTCGAAAATATCTGCTGACAACGAGTTGGCGGTGCACATGCTTTGCAAATCCTGCAATCGACCGAAATCTGCACGACAGTTTACGAACCGGATTTTGATTTCGTTGCGCGATTTTGATTGGACTATGCATAGACTCGTTAGTCCAGCCAAAATGTAACTCCATAATACCAGCCTAGATCGGCAAGGGTGGAAACTAGACTTTTATAGTCAGTTAACTCTCTTGCCTCGGGAAGACGATATTCAACAGCTTTGAAGCCATCTGATTGTCATCTCAAGCATATGGTGCTAGAAATCAACGATGCTCTGTGAAAATATGTAGTGACATATGGGACGTACTCTGAATATGCCATCACTGCCGCCACTCCCACTGGAACCATCCGACTCTATTGACGACTTCCTCTGTGTGCGGCCGAAGTATCGGCTGGATACAGATAGACCTTGACCTCTTGGGGTGAAGTCGTCGTGAGCATAGCCTGGAAAACACAACATCATGGTTAGCACATTCTCCCCTCAACAAGCCATCATAGTCATCCTACCCATGGCGGCACAGGAATGATATTGTGTCTATTGTTCCACTCTTTTGATCGCATGGCCGTCGACAAAAGACATATCAGACCTGACCATCATTGTTCCTGAAGCCAAAGAAGACTCAATGTGAGATGCTAACGCTCCCAGACTTAAAGTCAATAATAGTCTTGGTTCTCAGGCACCACCCGCATCATCATAGTTTGCGGCACGTTCCGTTTTTTACCATTTTCAAAAAAACAATTTAAAAATCCTTATACATGTACTTAAAAACAATGAGATCCAATATAGCACACAGTTACCTCCCTTTACATGTGCACTGCTTTACTGCGCATCTTGCGTTACGGTCGTGACAGCAATACTGGTTTGCATGCTTGTGTATGAAGGGAGGCCCAGGTTGATGGTACACAACTGTTTAGTTAGTTACATACTAGTTTGAACGACAACAAAAAAACAAGAACAAAAACCACCACCCGCCTATTTTCAAAAGTCATTGCCTGAGAACCAATTCTTTTATTTTCTTAAGCCTTAAAGTCAGTGAAATACTCATTTCTTTTACATTTTCGGACACAGAACTGTGGGTAATACACAAGATAACGCAAGTGCAACTTGGAAGTGCTGATCATCACTTGTGAATATCATGTTGAAAGTCACACTAAATGGCATGGGAATTACAAACTTTATGACTGTTATCTACAACACACTGTGTACATGGTTGCTGTACGAACCTGTGGCCGTCAGATCGGTGGGAGTGCTGGACAGGAAGGCGTCTATACTGACAGTTGGAGGCAGGCCGCTGCCTGACATTCTGTAAACAAAAATAAAGTCTTACACTTACACAGCCTCACAACTTCGTTCTTTATAAGACTGACACAACCGACTTGGGTGAACCTCATTTCCCTAGTCCTCAGTTTGCAGCAAGTCCTGCTTCCACTATGTTTACATTTTCTGTCATTTTAGTTCCAGTTTGAAGCAGTTTGAAACGTTGAGAACTGGTTCATAATTCTAGCCCTGCAATGTCGCTAGCCATTGAGGACTGCCATGATTAGATTTTTACTTATCATTAGCAGAGTTTAGTAATCTGGGGCTAGTGGACTAACTTGAATTTCGAAGACTGATCACAATTAAATTCTTTTAACTGGCACAAAAGCAATTATTGAGACGCACAGGTTTGAATAGAAAATGATAATCTTAAAACCTTTCTGCTGAACAAAATTGTCGAAAATAATTTCACACGGATATATATTGAGCATTAGAAAACAATAATTTCATAGTGTATCTTGTATGTTTAGGTCATGTGACTTACCTGGCCTCACAGCGACCAATCAGCTCAGGTGTCTGAATCTGCATCAGCGTGCAGCGAGCCTGGTCGATATAGAACGGCTCTGGACTGGGCCTCCCTTGTTGCCTGTCAAACACACAATGTGTTATTAAGTAATTGACAGAAGCACCCTTAAAATCCCACACCAAGGTCCACCCCTCAGCATAGTATGTGTAATCTAGTATCAAAATATACATGTACCAGCTTCATTTGTACATTCTAGAATTTTTGATAATTTAGTTTATTAAATTTGTCATGATAAATTAAATACTTTGATGTCAAATCACACAAGCTCTACAATACTTGACATGTGACATGACTTTTTGTAAATTATACAATATGTTTTCTGGTAAATGACTCCACACATTCCATACTTACTGAGTGGCACATCCACCAGCCTCGAGCAGTACCGCCAGCAGGCCATGTTTCTGAAAAACAGAGACAAACTTGTTCCATCTTGTTGTAGATATTGACAACCATCTATTTGACCTGAATTCCTTAGCAACCGAGCAAAATTGTTTTCAAAATCTTAAATTAACTTTTTCTACATTATATTTTTGTAGTAATTACATCATGATTCAACTATTGAAAGATTTGTATATATTCTCATGACTGATGACAATATCTAAATAATTAAAGATTTAGAAGAAATACAAAAATATTTTAGATGCTTCATTTTAATGAATTTGATAGAAATATAAATTACAGAAAGTCAGAATTTAACCAAATCTCAAAGTTTAAGAAACTCACCAAACCCACGACCAGCAGGAACCACCTAGCATGAGGCTCTGAGTACCCGAAGGTGTTGTTTATTTCACTGACATCGTAACAGAAGCGAGTCGGGAAGATCTCCCGCCAGATGACCAGCTGGCTGACCTTCTGATTGGCTGTGAGTGTGAGCAGCATGTGATGGGACAGGTAGAGGTGGATGTCCACGAGGTCGTCCCGCGACAAGTGGCTACACAGCAGGTGGCCCTGGAACAAACATGCATGCACTGACTTTTCCGGAAGTGCAAAGTCTGAAAAATGTTTCAGCTCAACAGATGGGGTCTGGGATGTTAATGATTCACAGGTAGCATCAAAGCCAGATTAGAATCAGCAGAATAATGTAAATGAGTGATCGGGGCTCAACTCCAAAAAGTGAAGTCGCTGTTAAACACCTGGGGTCATGATGACTAGACATGTCTAGTTTGTTTTGCAGATGAGCCAACTATTCATTTTGTGAAAGTTGAAAATAATAAACAACATAAAATGTTGCGAATTATATACTTTTTTTCCTTTCTTTTTTATGAGTTAACTTTATATTCCATGTATTTATTAAAATATCTAGCAAATAATTGATGATGCTTGAAGAAGAAAGGATGCAGTTTGGCTGAAAATAATTTAATAAAAAGAAATATCAAAATTTCAATAAGATGGTGTCCTGTGATGGTGTATTTGTTGACCTGGCTGTCTTGGTGTCAGACACGCTATGGGTGTGTTAAAAACTGACTTCTTATGTATTTTTTGTATTTATGAGGTATAAACAAACAGACATGGTGTGCACACTGTGTAAATCAACAATAATATTAAACTTAATAAAAAAAAATTCGTTTTAATCATTAATCCCCAAACACTGTAGACAATATGAAATTCATGACTCCATTCAGTGCTATAATTAAACAATGCTCTGCCCATTCAATTGCCAGCCAATCAGGAAGCAGTAGGCCAAAACTATTGCTTGGTAAGACAGTCAAATGCATGGAATTAACTGTAATTTATTTATATAGAAATATAACACGGGTGAATTAAAGATATGAACACCTGTCCCGCCGTGACACCCTACCTTGTAGAACACACCAGAGCCCAGCACAGTGTAAGATCTCCGACACCCGTAGAAGTTGTCAGACTAAAACAGGAGATATATGGTATGTGACAAAATATCAACACTATCTAATTTTGATATGAATATATGAAATAATTTCTTGTTCATAAGCATCGCCTTTTCACTTGAATGTTATTTTGTCAACATTGAGGACAGTTCATACAAGCGTGCAAATGTGTTAAATTCCCGGCACTATGTCATACAATGCTTAAATGTTAACTGTTTGTTTGTTTGTTGTTAAATGCTGCACTCAGCAATATTCAAGCTATATGACAGCAGTCTAAATAATCGAGTCTGGACCAGACAATTCAGTGATTGATGTCATGAGCATCGATCCACGCAATTGTTATACGATGACATCCATCAACCAAGTCGGCGAGTCTGACATCCCGATCTTGTTAGTCACACCTTACAACAAGCATAGTCGCCTTTTACGGCAAGCATGAGTTGCTGAACCTATTCTACCCCGGAATCTTCACTGGGCAACGGTTGATTGATTGAGTGAGTGAGTTGGGTTTAATACTGCTTTTAACAGTATTCCAGTTATATCATGGCGTGTCAGCTTAAAGTTGTGATGCAGGTCTCTGATGTTTACCACTTCTGTGAAACCCACGAGCACGGGTATGGTGCTGACAAACCTAGAAACATAATCGGGGCGAACCGGGATTCGTACCCACAATCATAGGTTTCTGGCTTGACCAAGGGATGCAACTCTGCAATGCGAATCGCGGTGCCTTAGACGACTGGGCCCCCCGTGACCCTCCGTTGATTGAGGGGCCATCACAACACACATCAACGCTAATAACACAAAAAACAACATGTTAACTGAAAAGATGATTTTTATCCAACTCACCATATCAACAAAATCTGATGCTTCAAAATCAGTCAATATTCCACTTGTGTGTTCCTGGAAAGACAACATCCAATGTCAGCTAGGTGTGAAGGTGGGTTGGCATTTGTGAAGTATTAATCTGAAGCAATTAACAGCTGAACTGTTGACACATACTTTCATTCTTTGTTTTATCATGTAGTCCAGATTCATTCACTGTCATGCTGTAGATTGTCATAGGAATCTAGTCTACAAATGTCTATTTGTAATTTCTTTTAGAATAATTTACTCTTTAGGGTAAGTTAAGGAGCATGCAAAGAAATTTCCAGCATTATCTCAGTTGATTCAATTTCATCATAGACAGTGCTCACAATATCACCCAATGATTTGCTTGTTTGTTTGTTGTTTAACGCCGCACTCAGCAATATTCCAGCTATATGACAGCAGTCTGTAAATAATCGAGACTGAACCAGACAATCCAGTGATTGACATCATGAGCATCAATCCACGCAATTTGGAGATGATGACATGCATCAACCAAGTCAGCGAGCCTGACCACCCGATCCTGTTAGTCGCCTTTTACGACAAGCATAGTCACCTTTTACGGCAAGCATGGGTTACTGAAGACCTATTCTACCCCGGATCTTCACAAGTCTTGCTTGCTCCTAGCTACTTAGACCTTGCTGGTTGCTGTGACAGCAGACAAACTGATGACATAAAACAGCTCTCACTCACTCACTTGACCACTCACCATAATCTCATCAGACAGCGGTAGATATTGCACATGACCAGAATGAGCAAATGTTCCGACCAATGGGGGAAGACTTAGATTTTGATTGACAGCTGCTTTGACCAATGAGGGATGATTATGGATTTGATTGACAGGGCCACTTCTCGTCTCCCCTGATATTGACTTGAAGAGGAGTGAGAAGATCTCATCCACCAAATGCCGATGTTTGTTCTGACGGAGAGCATCCTCGACTGATCCGACTAGGAAACGCAGCAGTCGCACAATGTCAGCCAAGATGAGTTTCAGCACTGAGATAGAGCACCTACAAAGTGACATCAAAATACAGCTATTTATCCAGGTAGTTAATTCTAAGTCTGACCCTTGACAACTGGCTACAAGAATCTGATATTATTTTAGGTGAGGTAAATTTGGCCTAACAAAATTATTGCAACATTAGATTCCCCAGAAAACTGCTTTTGGCAAACTTCCTTATAATCTTCTCAGTCATGCATAGAGGAAACTGTTAAATTTTAATGTAATTGAAATCTAAATTAACAATGAGAAAACTACAGGGTACCCACCATTTGTCGGGGACAGCCACCAGCATGAGGTCCCTACCTTCCATGTGGTAGACGGTGTGGACCAGATCCCCATTCACAACAAAGCTGGAACTAGACATTGCAGCACAGGTCAGAAACTGCAAACATGTCATCTTAACCGTGAACAGTCCCTTCATCATTTTGAATTTACCGGTACTCATTTACCAAAAATCACTAGCAGAGCCACACGTGTGCCATAAACCTCCTACTTTTGAAAATTACATACACTGTCTATGAACTTTCAACCTTGATGTTTGTTTGTTTGTTGTTTAATGGCGCACTGAGCAATATTCCAGCTATATGACGGCGGTCTGTTAATAATCGAGTCTGGACCACACAATCCAGTGATTGACATCATGAGCATCGATCCACGCAATTTGGATATCATGACATGCATCAACCAAGTCAGCGAGTCTGACCACCCGATCCCGTAAGGCACCTCTTACGGCAAGCATAGTTGCCATTTATGGCAAGCATGGGTTGCTGAAGACCTATTTTACCCCGGATCTTCACGGGTATTCCACCTTGATAATATACACACTTCACAAGATATGTTTATTCAGTCTTGTAAGCAACTGGTTCTAAGGCAATAACCAGTGGGCGAGGGTTTTATGAATGACATTCACATTTTACCAATATGTGGAACCAAACTACGTTTTTGGCAGAGGAGTCAACGCTTTAATCACTAGGCAACCCAATCAACCCAAAACACTTTTGAAAGATTTGCCGATGGTCTTAAGCCATTTGCTGATGGTCTTAAGCCACAAAGTGCAACTGATATGAAGCTGCAAACCACACTAATAATCAAGATAAGGAAGATGGACAGTTGGAGCCAGGAGTGTGAACTCAAGAAGTAGTAATGATACGAGGTACTACTGTATTTGCCATAATAAGCACCCTTGGCACTTATAAAGCTCAGGTGGGAGCTTAATATTAGAAACACACATAAGTTAAATTTGTTGTCAGTGATTGAGCGGTAGTTAACAAAAATTTGGTAATAGTTAATATAAAATGATGTAACACAAGAAAATATGGACTGTCAAGTAAATTTTCGGTCTTAGGGCCGCTTACAAAAATTACTTACAGATTGGTCTACAGGTTCATCTGACTATTGGCGCAGGGTGCTTAATATGGCAAATACAGTCAGTATGTACATTTGTGGGTAAAAGAAAGACTTACTTAGTGACATTGGAGACGACGAAGTCCCTGAGTAGGTGTGAGAGTGTATAGAACATGCCTCTGATGCCGGTCACCATGCCGTCCCCAGGGGGGTAGCTGTACACGAGATCCTCCTGAAGTCAGGGGGAAACACATGCTGTAAGTCACAGACGGCCACCAGTGGCGGAGCTCCGACAGGGGGCCAAAACCAAGTGTCTGTCTGTTTGTTGTTTAACACCGCACTCAGCAATATTCCAGCTAGGTGACAGCGGACTCTAAATAATAAAGTCTGGACCAGACAATCCAGTGATTGACATCATGAGCATCAATCCACACAATTGGGTCTGATACGATGACATACATCAACCAGGTCAGGGAGCCTGACCAACCGATCCCGTTCGTCACCTCTTACGATAAGCATAGTTGCCTTTTACGGCAAGCATGGGTTGTTGAAGACCTATTCTACCCTGGATCTTCATGGGTCCCAGAATGTGGCAGGGATATCTTTGTGATATCACTGTTTCAGATATCTCATACAGACCTGCTTAGCCCCTATCTCATATTTTAGCTGCGTGAGATTACTTAAGGGATAGGAGTGTTAGCTGAGTGTGTTTCTGTACAGTAATATTTCTTAAGTCCAGTTTGACATACCTGATCGGCGACATCGTCGGACGTTACTCCTTCCATGGACATATAGAAGACCCCCATAGGGTCCCCGCCCTGCACGGTCAGCTGGTCCCCCGACACCAGCTCCAGCAGGCTCTCATACTGGTGGTCCATGGGTGAGGGGGGACAGGGGGAGTCGGGCAGGGCCGACGGCGGGGGAGATTCCAGCTTTAACCTGACCTGAAACACGGAGGAATCCATTAAGAGATAATTAATCACATTCATGTTTCGTTCATAAATCCGGTTAAGATTAGAATTAAATCTTCACCCATGATTGCCGTAAAAGGTATCTATGCTTGTCGTAAGAGGCGACTAACGGAATTGGGTGGTCAGGCTCGCTGACATGGTTGATGCATGTCACTGATCCCAATTGTGTGGATCAATGTTCCTGATGTCAATCACTGGGTTGTGCTCTCCAGATTTACATGTCACTATCACATGGCTGGAATATTGCTTCGTGTGACGTTAAACAACAAACAAACTGGCAAAGAAACAAAATCATTCATGGTTGATAGATGTGTGGAATTGTTTACATTTTAAAGTCATGGTACTATAAAAGTCATTAGAAATATTCAGCAGCATAACAGAGGCATATAATCAAACCCTACATACAACTAGTGATTCATACAACATGCATAGGTTACTAGGGACCAATCCTGTCCATTTAATCACCATGGAGTATATTATCAAGGAGTAAGTGAGTGAGTGAGTATGGTGTAACACCGCTTTTAGCAATATTCCAGCAATATCACGGCGGGGGACACCAGAAATGGGCTTCACACATTGTACCCATGTCGGGAATCGAACCCGGGTCTTTGGCGTGAAGAGCGAACGCTTTAACCACTAGGCTACCCGACCGCCCCATATTATCAAGGAAGGAGACAAGCAGAAACAAGGTGTTTTTTTACCTTTTTACTGCTACAAAATCTTGTCCAGAAACTACTAGACAAATGTGCAATGGCGGACCTGACATGGAGCATGACGAGCAGAATAAACCCAGGACAATGAGTCAAAAGACACAACTGCTGCCTTGCTAAATATACCATACTAAACATGCTTAAACACTAGTGGACGAATTATTTTTGTTTCTTTGTTCTGACACGATCAACAATATTCCAGACAACCGACGGCACATCGTTACAATAACATTTGTACCAGACAATCCAGTGATTGATATTATGAGCATCAATTGGGATACAATGACATGCAATCAACCAAGTTAACGAGTCTGAACATCTGATCCCGTTTAATGGCCTCTTATGACAAGCATGGGTTGCTGGGGACCTATATTCTTACCTGGAATCCCCAAGGCGATTATAAAGTATTTTTTAAAACCATGTGCTTGCAGCAAAACAAGAGAAAAAAAAAGAAAAGGATTTTTTTAGCAGAGCAACACCAGGTCCAAAATGAGATGATTTCGGTGGTCAGCTAATCAATATACTTCACAATACTATTTTTCTCAACACAAGTACATGTGACAGATTGCACTTCACAATCAACACTGATCAGTCCCGACAAACAGATCACTACCAACCCCCTTCCACAGAGTACATACATGTCCTATAGTCTAATCCTTATACCATCACAAATCATATCACACAAAGCACCTGTCAGCCCTAATCAACAACTCTATACCATGTAACAAAACATCTCGATGGCCATTCATCAACACCATAAGGGACTGTGTCAAAAGTGATATATCCTGTCTAAATACTTAATACAATCATAACATAAAAGCAGCTATTAAATAATATTACCATATTTCTTTAATAAAGATCAATTTGTATGAAAAGATTTTTCTTAATGCTTATCAATAATTCAATTCATTAACATAATTACTATTGAATGACGTGAACTTTTGACACGGGCCCTTAATGCGTTGGTCAAGTAGGAGTCAAAGACGATGTTTGAGGTTGTCGGTGCTTGACAGATGATGGTGAAACTGACGTGACAACTTCCTAATATGTAGGTCCATTTCAACAAGCACCTGGTCAAACATGAGGGTGTGAGTGTGTCCGGCCAAATGTTATTAGCGCTATTGTACCGCATGTGTGAAGGGGAAATACTTACCGGGCATCATAGGGTTACCATGGAAACTGCTATGGAAATGCTTAACTAAGTGTAAACACACCATTATTGAAGGTGGTGTTCAGATAAACAGAGGGTAAGAGGTTATTGAAGTGGACAATGTCTCCAATGGTCAGTTTAACATAAATATATCTTTGACACGAGCAACTGATGCTTACTAATACTACTTTGTATGTAACTGTAAACAGCTGTCAAAAACTGAATATATTTGATAGATGTATTTAACTTGCTGCTTTCTGCAAGAAACATTAATATACACTCTGCAAACAACATCACTAAAGTTGTTTGTTTTCTGTGTGATTAGTTGACCAATTAAAGCACATTTGTCGAAAAAACATTGTAAAAGATTAATTTCAATCTCCTTTTCTAAACCAAATGATTTCCAAGAATATCCAAGTATTATGGCAAGGGACTTATGGCACTAACTATCTACACACATATATTTGGAAAAATCAGTTCATGATATGGATCACTAAACAGGTATTTGATATGACATGTAAAATACTGGTACAGTAATACACATCTGACATTTTTTGTATATATTACCAGCTAGCATTTACATGTTTACTGGTTTTTGTATTCTATGAAAAAATAAACATGAGATGAAGAGTAACACAGAACAGCTATGTAACTCAAACCTGAACTGCTTTCAGATTTGTGCTCAACTGGGAGCAAGACTTGTATGCCATTTCCAGTGACAGGTCTCACCTGTGTACAATGAGTGGAGCTAATTATTATATCAACAACATAAAAACCAACATGGCAAATCTGAAACACATGCTGACGATATCAATGGTTTTCATGTTCCCCCTTGTTTGTTTCTGTCCAATCGGCACAGGATTAGACAGAGATCTACTAGTAAGACTTCAGTAATGACTACCAGCAGTGACAATTCCGTGTGGACTACCATTTTAATGATTAGGTAGATTTTTTGTTTGTTTGTTGTTTAACGCCGCACTCGGCAATATTACAGCTAGATGATGGTGGTCTGTAAATAATCGAGTCTGGACCAGACGATCCAGTGATTGACATCATGAGCATCAATCCACGCAATTGGGATATGATGACATGCATCAAGCAAGTCAGTGAACCTGACTACCCGATCCTGTTAGTCGCCTCTTACGACAAGCATAGTCGCCTGTTAAGACAAGCATGAGTTACTGAAGACCTATTCTACCCCGGATCTTCATGGGTGCCATTAGTAAGATGGCCACTGTGAAGCAGAAAACATATTTATAAACTAGTGAGCAGTGATTGTTTTCTTAAATTCCTAAGCATTTCTAACAATATAAAATATCATAAACACCTGTTGACTTTCTGCAATCGACATGTCACAGACGTAGCAAGTTTAACCAACAAGTGATAAGTCGAATGTGGAACACATACGCTGACTTCGCTAATCATTGTAATCACCTGCCCCAAGTTCAAAACAAGTTTTGACATACATCTGTCAACAGCGGACAAACCCATTACATTGTGTACAGACCTATATCCCACGTTATCATATCAAGCCTACTGCAGCGGATTATCAGATTATCTCGACCCACAGATGAGGATTAAAGGATTAACCTACCCTTTCATTGGTGGATGACTTAGATTTAAGATTATCCCTGCTGGGCTTGTGGTGTGAAACTTACAAGACACCCAGGTCTCCCTGATTGATTGATTGCTACATACCAACGTAACTTACACGCTCGCAGGAAATAAACACTCGCCCTCCTCAAGTGATCTTTTTTGTTCATATTTTATCTAACAAGAGTTTACCTATTCTCTTCCGGATAATGTCAGCAATTTCAACCATTCTGATGAGATCTTAAACTGTTGTGGTCTTGTAATATCGGTGATGTAATTTGGGGATAATGTTGATTCTAACTGCAATTTTACTCTTCGTCATATCCTTGCACAGTGCAGCAGACATAACACTGAACTCACTGAACAACAAACTTTATTTTAAGAGATTGTGAAAGACTTACAGAACATTGACTTGGAGAATTACCAGTTGTACAATCTAGTTGCTCTATGGAGCTCCGTGTTTGTACAAACATGTGCAGCAGTTTACAAATAGTTTGACAGGCTGCACAACAAATTACCATTTGTTTTGGCTAATTTCCATTTACCGACGATGATGACACGTTTGTTTTACACTTTCGGTGACTAGAAATATTCATTACAATCAAGCATAGTATCATTAGTATCAATTTCCATTTAACTAAAATATCTATATCACTATATCGCTGAAATGAAATATACTGTTCAGATATAGAACAATTTTCTTTATTTCTTAAATTTCAGACAAGATTTTCAAACTAAAGTAATGTACATACAAGTGGTGATGAAGATGAGTGTCACTTTGTAATCCAATGTCGATATTATGATGATTCATGCACTGGCCTAATATGATTAATTGTTTTCATAAATTTCATAAATTCCTAAATTCATGTCTTCTTTTTTTACTTATTTAAAACATTTCTTCTTTTATTCCCCTATTTCTTCTTTCATTTCTTTCTTTTGTCTCTCATTTATTCTAATTCTTCTTTCTTTCTTTAATTATTTACTGAGGGACACAGTAATGAAAAAATATGTCCATGTTGACATGTTTACTGCCAGTGTGACTACAGTAAACTCAGTTATAACAAACTCAAAGGGAAAACTAATTTTAATTCGTTATAACCACAGTTGATCAAAGCCTCAATACAGAATATATACCATGATATACAGCAAATAGACAGGACCAACAAAACAGTTTGCTATAAGCATGTTCGCTATAAACGCAGTTTACTGTACTTCTACTAACAAATAAGATAAGAGTGTGTAAATGGTGTCTGTATGAGAAGTGTGAATGGCTGTTTTTATGATAAAAAAGCGGATTCCATCATGTGATACGTATATATTATGCATTAAATCATTTATTATCACTAATAATATCAATCATCACTAGTAATATCAATCATCACTACTCACTAGTAATATCAATCATCACATTACAAATGATGTGCAAACAGTTAATGTATTAATATGCATTGTATCGTGTACAATGTATTCTGAACCCTGAATAAAAAAAATATTACAAAAAAACAAAAAAAACAAATAAGATAAAACTACCACTTTCATAATCTTATTAAAAGTCACCAGCTCAGCAATATTAATGTGAACATTGCTCCTAGAATTACATATGAGCATGTTTGTCAAGTACACTCCATTATAACTTATAACATATGATACCCACTAAGACAGGGAGTGACTGAGGGCACCACCCAACATGTGTTTGCTGCAGATAATTCAACATGTCTCTCTGTTTGGGCATTTGTCAGCCTAAGTATTTGTCAAGTTTTGCACAAAATTACAAAGGCTCTGTTGAACAACGTTGAGTATTTACTGAGGAATAGTTCTCCGACTGCCTGCAGTACATGAGTGGTCGGGGTAACACTGACTGGGGCCACAACAACATGATTATCCAACACTCCCTGTATGGAGCAAGGCTGGTGTTGTATTATGTAAATGTCGACGTTCAAGGTGACATGGCGTGCAATGGCTTGCCTTGAAAACCTTCAAAGGGAGATTAGGGTTGTCATTGCTAGTTAGACTATCAACACAATGTTCTCCAAATAGGGTTGAAACACGAAAAAGAAATATTGATGAAATATCCTGAGTGTAGCCAAGGGGAATAAATTCAGAAAGTTAATTGAGATTTTTTTTTGAAAATTTGAAGAATTTTATTTTCAGCTGCGGAAATTGTAAGAGCAAAACAAAATTCTGTAAACCAACTGAAAAACATTAACCGCCTTAGATACAAGGCCAGGGTTAAAATGCAAGAGTAACCTTGGATAGTCAAGAGCACGCTGTCCACTGTCGACACACCCACATCGTAAATACCGACACACATGAAATACCATAACTGTAGGACATACAAACAGCACAATAAGCAAGATAAATGACAAATGGTCAGTTTGTCCGAACGTAGCCCTTGAGACCACAACATCCGAGACAATCTCCAGTTAATGACCTGTTGCTTCCCACAGTTGTCCTGCTACTTGACTCTGATAATGACGTTGTATTTATCACTACCTGTCAATCAGCCCAACTACAAAGGACCCCACACACCCTCTATACTCTCTGTGTTCCACAGTGTTCCACAGTTAGCCTGTAAACATTCGCTGACACAATCGTCCTAGCAGGCCCTTTCTCTGCAGGACAATATCACTGAGATAGCAGATGTTGGCTTGAACACAATAAGATTAATGAACACTTTTATAAACTTCCAGTTGCTAGGAAACAATCTACGTAGTTGAGGATAGTGTTGGGATATTTTAACCAATGGAATGCTGGCGATACAGCGACTTAAGCAAGTTCTGATGGATTAGACAGATGTCTGGTTGATATCTAGATAAACATGATCAAGGTTACAATGCTGATTTCAAATAGGTTTATATGCTTGAATATGAGAGTTGTCCCAAAAGTCCCTTCTAAAATTGACATTGATATGTACAATATAAATTGATCCGCCATCAAGTGATTGCAAGCAGTTATACTACATATGCACATTTTTTCTGTCAGTTCATGCAGGTAATGAACATGCGCTGCACACACTGCTAAATATAGCCGCTCGCAGTCACCTGACACTGCCGACCCTTATTCGGATTGTAACCACGTGATCAAAACTCAGGGATGTTTATTGATAACAAAATGGATATTTCTTGAAAAGCATACTCTGCAAATGTTTCAGTACTGTAAGTAATATTCTTTATTTCCCAAACGTTATTTGTGGTATAACTCTTTCTTAGTAAAGAACAGGTTCAAGTACTTTTTGGGGTGGAGTCCCATCTGGGATTCGACCCCCACTCCCAGAGTGAGGCACCAAATCACCAAGACACAAAGTCAGCGATGTAATCCACTCAGCCACCGAGGGTTCCAAAAATGAAAGTGTGACAACTGGTACTTTGTGTACCCTCTGACAAGTGTAAAATGGCACGGCTCCCATGGCCGATAGCTATGGATACACAACACTAGTTAATCTTACCTTCTTAGGGTAGGTGATAGACTTGAGTCGGGCATCAATTGTTGACCATCCCACATCTCGGCCATTGATACACTTTAACCAGTCACCTAAACAATAAGATGGCAAATATGAAATTACAAACTAGTTATGTTGAAATCATGAGATCAAGAACATATAATCAGGATTACATGAAAATATCTTTTTCCTAATGAATCAAAATTAGATCCTAACATTAAATTTAGTCATAAAAATCAAGACATTGCTAGTGACAACGCAAAATTAAGAAACAAATATTCAGTTAGCATGATTAGTAGCTGATTAAGTAAAAGTTATGAAAATACATGCTGTGTTATCGTGATTAGAATTTCTGGTTGTATCCAGTCATTATCATGATTAGAAGTACCAGGTGTATCAAGGTATTATCATGATTAGAAGTACCAGGTGTATCAAGGTATTATCATGATTAAAAGTACCAGGTGTATCAAGGTATTATCATGATTAGAAGTACCAGGTGTATCCAGGCATTATCATGATTAGAAGAACTGGCTGTATCAAGGTATTATCATGATTAGAAGTACAGGCTGTATCAAGGTATTATCATGATTAAAAGTACCAGGTGTATCAAGGTATTATCATGATTAGAAGTACCAGGTGTATCCAGGCATTATCATGATTAGAAGAACTGGCTGTATCAAGGTATTATCATGATTAGAAGTACAGGCTGTATCAAGGTATTATCATGATTAGAAGTACCAGGTGTATCCAGGCATTATCATGATTAGAAGTACAGGCTGTATCAAGGTATTATCACGATTAGAAGTACAGGCTGTATCAAGGTATTATCATGATTAGAAGTACCAGGTGTATCCAGGCATTATCATGATTAGAAGTACAGGCTGTATCAAGGTATTATCATGATTAGAAGTACAGGCTGTATCAAGGTATTATCATGATTAGAAGTACAAGGTGTATCCAGGCATTATCATGATTAGAAGTACAGGCTGTATCAAGGTATTATCATGATTAGAAGTACCAGGTGTATCCAGGCATTATCATGAATTGAAGTACAGGCTGTATCAAGGTATTATCATGATTAGAAGTACCAAGTGTATCCAGGCATTATCATGATTAGAAGTACCAAGTGTATCCAGGCATTATCATGATTAGAAGTACCAAGTGTATCCAGGCATTATCATGATTAAAAGTACCAGGTGTATCAAGGTATTATCATGATTAGAAGTACTGGCTGTATCCAGGCATTGTCATAATTAGAAGTACCGGATGTATCCAGGCATTATCATGATTAGAAGTACAGGCTGTATCAAGGTATTATCATGATAAGAAGTACCAGGTGTATCCAGGCATTATCATGATTAGAAGTACAGGCTGTATCAAGGTATTATCATGATTAGAAGTACCAAGTGTATCCAGGCATTATCATGATTAGAAGTACCAAGTGTATCCAGGCATTATCATGATTAGAAGTACCAAGTGTATCCAGGCATTATCATGATTAAAAGTACCAGGTGTATCCAGGCATTATCATGATTAAAAGTACCAGGTGTATCAAGGTATTATCATGATTAGAAGTACCAAGTGTATCCAGGCATTATCATGATTAAAAGTACCAGGTGTATCCAGGTATTATCATGATTAGAAGTACCAGGTGTTTCCAGACATTATCATGATTAAAGTGAGTGAGTGAGTGAGTATCGTTTTACGCTGCTTTTAGCAATATTCCAGCAATATCACGGCGGGGGACACCAGAGATGGGCTTCACACATTGTACCCATGTCGGGAATCGAACCCGGGTTTTCGGCGTGACGAGCAAACGCTTTAACCACTAGGCTACCCGACCGCCCCTTATCATGATTAGAAGTACAGGCTGTATCAAGGTATTATCATGAATAGAAGTACCAGGTGTATCCAGGCATTATCATGATTAGAAGTACAGGCTGTATCAAGGTATTATCATGATTAGAAGTACCAGGTGTATCCAGGCATAATCATGATTAGAAGTACCAGGTGTATCCAGGCATTATCATGATTAGAAGTACAGGCTGTATCAAGGTATTATCATGATTAGAAGTACCAGGTGTATCCAGGCAGTATTATGATTAGAAGTACAGGCTGTATCAAGGTATTATCATGATTAGAAGTACCAGGTGTATCCAGGCATTATCATGATTAGAAGTACCAGGTGTATCCAGCCATTATCATAATTAGAAGTACAGGTTGTATCAAGGTATTATCATGATTAGAAGTACCAGGTGTATCCAGGCATTATCATGATTAGAAGTACCAAGTGTATCCAGGCATTATTAGGATTAGAAGTACAGGCTGCATCAAGGTATTATTATGATTAGAAGTACCAGGTGTATCCAGGCATCATGATTAGAAGTACCAGGTGTATCCAGGCATTATCATGATTAGAAGTACTGGCTGTATCAAGGTATTATCATGATTAGAAGAATTGGCTGTATCAAGGTATTATCATGATTAGAAGTACCATTCTAATACTCATGGTAATATGTTCATGCTGGATACAAGGGATGGAGTTTTAGGCTGAATGTGCAGCAGGTTCCGCAGATTTCCACAATGATGAGAATGATGACACACAAGCAATCAATCACATTTATCTCCCCAACCTGTGGGACGAGCGACTAATCCACCTCAGAACCCAATGCTAGCCTTGGTACAAACAAAACCTTTGAATGTGACAAAAATGGCTGTCATTTGAAATAAAATGTCTCCACTCAACAATGCAAGAACTGCAGACCCAGGTTACAAGTGCAGCAGAGTCCATGATGAAGTTGTAGTGTAATCCTTTTAAGACTGGAGTATTCCAAGCAGGCAATGCGGGGGTCAATAGCACGGCAACCACTCTCCTCATGCTGAGATACACAACGTCCCTCGCTCTCACACACACCAATAGTTATACTCACACACATCCCTACACAAACACACAGCATTACTGTCATCGGGGGCAATGTCACCATTTGTCGCCATTTACTATTTAGAGGAGTGAGAGTGTAAGCATTTTATTCAGCTTTAAGCATTCTTGTGTTATATATCAAACTAGTCTAGAAAGGCTTTACACATTGTATATGTGCAGGGACTGATATTGAGTGCACTAAGCTTGCTTATCTACTCCTTGGAAAGATTTCTGTCACACTAAATTTATACCTTACTCCTGTGAAAATAGCAGAAAGTATGTGAAACTCAAGTAATCAAACATCCCATGCCACAGCTCTTCCTCTGCATAGTTTGTTTGTAGTTTAACGTCACTCTCAGCAATATTCTGGCTAGATGATGGCGGTCTGTAAATAATCAAGTCTGGACCAGACAATCCAGTGATTGACATCATGCACATCGATCCACGCAATTGGGATCGATGACATGCATCAACCAAGTCAGCGAGTCTGACCACCTGATCCTGTTAGTCGCCTCTTACAACAAGCATAGTCGCTTTTTATGGCAAGCATGGGTTGATGAAGACCTATTCTACCCCGGATCTTAGCTCTGTCATGTTTAGTCAGTGCCTCCCTCAGTCCATTGGAGAGCAGGTCAATTTTGACCAGATTTTATTTCAAATGATTATTAATGATTATGCTGCAAACTGAGTTGCTCTTATCAGCTGCTTATACTGGCTCGGCATCAGGTGTATTTGTTTACAGTTACATGATATGCCTTGCGTCAAGCTCGGCAATAGGAGAAAAGCTCCAGCTTCGTAGGGTACGTTCTATAGAAATATGTCTTGATCATGTTGATTGAGCCTTATTCCCTAACAACCTCACTATTACATGATTAAGATATGTCATATTAATCATGCTAATTACTGTCTTTGTATTGTTACCATGGTTACACTAAACTTATAAAGCTCTATTGAATATTATACATCATTATCATTATGATTATGATCGCGTGCTTCTTATGAATTGTTTTAATATTTGAAAAAACCCACAGATTGGACCTTATCTCACTATAACCACTATCACCAATGGCCATGGTAACAAGCAGATCTAACAAAGTCACTTTAGACTTTTTTTAAGACACATGAGAGTGTGTCACTTAAAAAATGAATATTCTCTCAGAAGTTTACTACAAACTTCTAATATTGAAATCTTGTCATTATGTGCTAAATACATTAAAGATCCCCCATCTTTATGTTCTTCATTATTATAATTCTAATGTGTACTTTAATTGCACTCTGTACCTCTTGTTATTGTACCATCACTTTGTATATAATACATATATCTATATTGTACTTGGGCCTGTGGTCTTTATACTGAAATATACTCAATCAATATTGATGACAGTTGAAGTTTAATCAACAAATAAGAAACAACCATTCCTATGACATCACAATTCACTCTATCTTGTGTTTATCTGCATGATACAAGACATTCATTGTACATGTGTGTCTCACTGCCAAGATAGAAGAAATGATTGCGTATTTGCAGCATGTTCAAGAGAGGTTATCAGTTGAGGTTATCATTTGAGGTTATCACAGGAGGTTATCATTACCAGAAGTTATCACAGGAGGTTATCATTACCAGAGGTTATCACATGAGGTTATCTTTATCAGCATGCACTGTAATAGATGCACTGACTACCTACACCAATGACCTTACCATGCTTACAGTCTTGTTGGTATATAGATGAAAAATTCCCGAAGCCACCTTGATGAAATAATTTACTGTAATAGACTTACAAAATTGACAGAGGGGAATTTATCTAGGATTCTAAACTAAATGCTCTCGGCAGGCAAATTGGGAGAAAAAGCACCATTTTGTTCAAAATTGGGACTTTTTAAAGCTCTTACTTTAAGCCTCTTCCTCAATATTGGTCTTGTTATTAGTGATATAAAAGTTAACTTACAAAAGCAATAACATTAGTTTGACTATGTTAACATGAACTGGGAAATTTTTAATTCTGATTTGGGAATTTTTACTGACATTTGCTGAAGACTTTGGGGCTGAAAATCAGCCTCTGAGGAGGTCTAGATAAATCCCTGGAACTATTAGTACATATACTTGTATCAAAGGGATTGGCTAAGTCATGTCAATTGTTGGTCCTAAAGATCTTGGTAAGCAGTAATGGCAGAGGGCCAGGTATTGTTTAAGGTCAATGGTCTTGAATGCCCTCTTGGAGAGTCAGTATCCAACATACTCATGATACACACAATATAGATAATTTAAATACTGAAAAAGGTTATACGTGACAGATGTGGCCACTCAGATTAAACAAGATATTGTTCAGCATGTTCAGAAAACAATGGTAAATCTAGACTGGGTGAAACAATCAAAAGGAATAAGACTTAGTGTGAACCTACCTATTCTAATATCTCTAAACTTGACAGCAGGCCCATCTGGGATGAAGCCCTTCACCACGATCTTCTCCCTGTCCAACTTCGTACTCTTCACAATATGTCCATTAGTTCCGAGAATGCCAGGAATAATGCCCAATAGCCGCTCACACAGCGTCTCCCCAGGTCTCCCCACAGGCCGTAACCCCGGGTCCACGAGTAACACCACCTCCTTCACAGACTCCATATCCGGGCAATAACACTCAGCCTCACTACACACATCCCTTGCCTCATTGGAGGATTTGGAGTCTTTCTTTTTCAAAAAGGAAGAAAATCGAGTTGATTTTTTGGAAACCTTTTCATTTTTGGGTGAAGGCTGGTCATTGTCTGTAGAATAACCTGTGTCTTCACTGTTGGAGCATTTGCAGTTTCTGGTGCTGCACCACCCAGCAGATGACTCGCAGCATGGGTGTGGCACAGTTGTAGGGGTGGGTCCCACACTCAGTGGAAGAGCATCGTCAACCTTGCCAGTATCCAGATAGAACACCTCTCCATCCTCATTCACTTCCGTCTGCCAGGTGACTTTAGCTTTGTCTTTAAATGAGCTGAAAAAAGGTTGTTGGAACTTTTAGTGTATATTTACTTGAAAATTAAAAGAGGAAATGGCCTCCCAGTATGACAAGTTCATGAATGCCTCACATTGCCAATCACTTGGCCTATTATTCATACACACAAATACATTCCATATAATATATAAATATTACATATATTATGCCTGGTGTTGTGAACAGCTTATGAACAATGATTCATGCATACAATGATTCATGCATGCCATCATATAGGCCTATGTCCAATGCATAGATTGATGGTCATGATGTCAATCACTGGATTGTTTGGTCTAAACGCGACTGTATACAGAGTATTGTCATAAAAGCTGGAATAATGCTGAGTACAGTGTTAAACATCAAACAAACAAACATATGGTTGACCATGTTGACATCTCACGAAAAAAAATCAATAATAATGGTTAATATTGCCAAGAAAATTTGAAATGTGTAATAAAATGACCACAGTAGAGCCTTATTTAAAATACATGTAGATTACATTCTCAATTACATGTACTACTTTGACGAAAAGAACGCTAGATACCGCTGCAGGGCGAAATTAAACTACAAACATGACACTGCACATCTCATATGTAAATACACATTGGCGGAGAAATCTTTCAACTAGTTTACAAAACTTTTAGTAATGTTTACACAAACTTTATAAGGCCGGAAATGGATACTTTTTCTGCTTTTCAACACGAGAAGCTTGACAAGGGAGGTAACTTTCAAAACACAGGCAACAGTTTGTTCTGAACAAAAGTTGTCACTAATGGCTAGTCCAAGAAGAACTACACTCCGTTACCTAGTGGAGGTCTAGACAATGAACGTAAAATTGAGACACTGTCTGTAATTAATCATTAGTTTGGTATTGTATGATAATTCATAACAAAATACGTGATAAAAACAAATAAAAGACAAATTTGGATGGGATCGACAAGCTGTCCATACCTAGTTACGCTGTAACAACTGTGATTGGTTTTTTTTCATTATTTTGGGACATATTGTCAGTTTAGAAATATTAAAATGTCCATTCTTGAAACAGGGATTCGCACTTTGATAAAAATATAAACGCCAGAATATTAATATTCAGACTTTATTTTCTTATCAAAAGTCCATGTCCTGTTCACATGACTACATTTTATTAACGAACGAGAATTTAATGATTAACGAAAAGATCACCTTGATATTAATATTTATTATTAAAACCTTAAATTCCACTGCACAATACGTTCAGTCCGTTATCATTTATTATATCAACATAATTGTCACGTATATGATATGGGTCACACGGGGAAGAATACACCTATATCTATATACATGAAATAATGACTATAGCGATATTAGCGTCCATTATTGACATATATTATGACTACACAACACATCCGTCAGTTATATGAAAACATGCACTTACTCGAGTTGACAGAGATCAGAATAATGATAGCCAATTGTCTGTATCATATTTGTGTATTTCAAAAGGTTTCGCTCCGAGGACGCGTTTAATGACGAGAACATACAAAGAGTTCATTGTCGGAGTTACCTACGGGGCACGGTCGGTAAATTGAGGACAAGCGAAATGAGAAAGTTGTTATCGATCTAATTGAGCTTTACCCTAGGGAAAGTGACGGTGCACAAGCTAGGCACAGACAGTTCTCTTTATCTCTAGTACACCTGATTGCACTTCTACCCGCTGACTAATATTACCTAGGGCTGACATTTGCTGCAATAAACACGTATTCAAATTTATGTGTATGGTTGACGCCATAAAATAGTTTGAGTGATTGTATTATTGACAGCATATATTTCAAACAGCGAACTGTCAAACCTTATTCTAAGAGGAGCCATTTTATAGACGAGAAATGAAATTTTGGGTTCAACGATGCATCTATTAATGTCTAGTCACTTTGGTTATAGTGATTATTGTGTATTGAGAAACGTACGCATTGCAACATACCAATCATCGCGGAAACGGTGAGTGAATGCTGTTTTAAGCCGCAGCCTGAGTCTACTAACTTGGTTACATCTGGCTGTCCAAGCAAACAGTAGTCGCAGTGCGAGAAACTATCCACTCGGTCACAGAGATGACACACTATAGCTGACCATACATTGTAACACCCGTCCTCATTGTAATGAGGTCTTGCGATAAGTATTTGTGTGGTGTGATTGGGACCAACCCCCAATCCCCGGAAATGGCAGCCTCCGAACCAAAAGCTTTCACACCCACACATGCAGGCACTGTATGGAGAAGCTATCCTAATATTTACCCTGCAGTGGTCAATAATTAAGGTATTGCCCAGAGTGATGTTTATTTCAATTACTCCGTATCATGCAGGCTTCAGTTGTCCTATCAGATTCACATTAACCATACACAATGACCACGCGCAGATAAGTATCGGAATACTGTCTGTCCATCCTGCCTCTCGCTGGTACACGGAGCTGATAACATCACAATTTCCCCCACAAATAATGGGCCAACATGCCACAGAGTGCCGACATTCAGTTGGAGCCATAAACATGCGTCATGAAAAGATTGTAATTCTTGATTTCAAACCTTATCATGATTGATGAAATGAAATAGGTTAATAGAATAAGAGATATGTCAGTTTGAAATGTAATTATAAACATGAAAATGCCAAAAACTTGGCAAACTGCCGTCATATGTAACGATATACGGAAATTCGGTTGAAATAAGTCACTTTTGACGTCACCGTGATGTTAAAATAAAATACATTTATTTTCTCCAGAAGCTCATTGAGAAGAACAATCTGTATGCAAAATTACAAGCACACATATAAATGTGTAACAGAATATACCTAGATCTATGAGTTTAGCTTTCTATTTTCAGACCGCCGTCATATAGCTGGAATACAGCAGAGTGCGGCGTTAAACAAATAAACAAACAAACAAACAAAACTGTCTATGTCCATTGTTCTCACAACGTGTTACTATGGCACGTCCCTTAATCCTATACGGATCTGCTTCAATATTTCCTGGACAAGCAATTTGACTTGAACAAGCATATACCCGGTCCCTGCAATGATAAATACTGTTCCGTGACAAGAGCTCTGTTGCCTCATTATATTTCTGTTGTTTTGTTTGTTGTTTAACGCCGCAGTCAGCAATATTCAAGCTATATGACGGCGATCTGTAAATAATCGAGTACGGACCAGACAATCCAGTGACTGACATCATGAGCATCGATCCACGCAATTGGGATACGATGACATGCATCAACCAAGTGAGCGAGTCTGACCACCCGATCCCGTTAGTCGCCTATTACAAGTTCAGTCGCCTTTTACGGCAGCATGGGTTGCTGAAGGCCTATTCTATACCGGATCTTCACGGGTCTGCTTCGTTATAATACGAATACACAAATGTTGAAATATTAACATAATGTTCCACACATATGTATAGAATAATAGTCATAAAAAAAGGGAATTGCTTCCATGACCGGTTAAAACTACCCCCTCCCTCGTCAGTCCCGCGACCCTTACAGAGCCAGCCGACTCACATTTACTTAAAATATTCATATATACTCCTATGGATATGTTTGGGCGATTTTTATGAAATGTATAACGCAGCATTTGAATAGATATTAATTTTATTGGCGGCCTAAGCACAACACTGCTACGCCATAAATTTTCCATATAACATGTTTTATTATTTTCATTTGCAGTACAAACATCGTGCTCACAATGGTGTTTTCTTTACATGACTGACAGGTGTCAATTGCACACGTGTTTATTACAGCAATGCCCGGTGTAACCATTGTGTAATGGTATACTGACAAGTACTCGCTGATTGTCATCTAGGAAATCCGTATTATGCTCTGGACGATGTCGGTAAGCTATAGGAGTGTAACATTTTGCTTAACGTGACGTGTGTTTGTTGTATCGTCACCTATGTATTTTTTATTGCTCAAGGCAGAGCGGGGAGAATTCGACATTGAAGGCATAATACATTACATGCCGTTGGCAGACGGTGCCGTAAGTGCAACGCTATTGTTAAAGTTCTCAGTCAAGTAAACAGCGTCGTTCACTGTATACTGCTTTACAATAACGGGAGAACATACGGGTAACAGACTGGGAGACATATGTGCTGTCGGCGGGGACGTTTTATCTTTGAGTAGCATGGTGATCTCGAAGACTGTAGTCTTAATCTAATTTACACTTCATTTTTTTGGCACACAAATTTCCGGTGGAAATACCGGCATGGTTTAGATCCCCGGTATAAGCTGCGTGTCATAATACAAGCTTTGTTCGTTCGTTTGTTGTTTGACGCCGCACTATTCCAGCTATATGACGGCAGTCTATAGATAATCGAGTCTGGACCAGACAATCCAGTGTTTGACATCATGAACATCGATCAACGCAATTGGGATAAGATGACATGCATCAACCAAGTCAGCGAGCCTGACCACCCGATCACGTTAGTCGCTCCTCACGACAAGCAGTCACCTTTTACGGCAACCATGGGTTGCTGAAGACGTATTCTACTCCGGATCTTCACGGTGACGTAATACAAGCGTGCCATAATGAGGATTGGGTGGACGTAAGACCTGCCTAAGTGTAGTGGTTGTGCCTCGACAACATGGATCATTAATACTGTCATCTAAGTCGACTAACGTTTATGGATCACAATTACTTTACAATACTGTAATACCGACGTCTCTGTGTAGATCAGTCTTGCTTTACAAGAATAAGGATCTATACCGAAACGTCGATATTACAGTATAATATAGAAGTTGTGATTTATTAACTTTTGTCTACTTTATCATCCGTCAACTTCTAAGAAATACCTATAAACAATGTCGACTACTTTTTTTCCTTGACAAGACTCGACTATATACAGGCCTGACTGATTTATTTGTTTGTTTTGTTCTTGTTTTTAACTCCACACTCAGCAATATTTCAGCTATATGACGGCGGTCTGTAAATAATCGAATCTGGACCAGACAATCCAGTGATTGATATCATGAGCATCGATCTGCGCAATTTGGA